ATTTTTGTTTTCTTGACATTGAGATGTAATCCATATTGAAGGCTATGCTCTTTGATCTTCATAAGTAAATGTTTCAAGTCCTCTTCACTTTCAGCAAGCATAGTACTCATAGGTGGTATTATTTATTTATTATGTGAACCAATCTATTATTTAGCTAAAAGGTAATCTCAGGGGCTAGTTTTGATTTAGGTTCAGAGTATCTCAGGGCAATAATCTTGAGGAGTCATCCAGTCCCAACTTGTCCCAACTGTTTAACTTTTGGTGTTTTTTTAATTTTGAAATTTGAGGTTCTTTTCCACATTTTTCTTCCATTCTATCAGGGTCCATCTGCTGTGGCCCTGATCAGAACATTTGGTAGTGGTTGCCAGATGCCAGCTAATTCTTCTGTTCTCAAGATAGATGAGGCTGTTCATTAGTCCTGTATACAAATACTGTTTAGTCTTTAGTTTCCTTCCCTCTGTTTTCCTCTGGAGGAAGAGAGTCCAAGAGTAATATCTTAGATTATGCATTCCCAAGATTTTAAGACTCTGGATGATATCAAACTATGATATAGAACATAACTGTATGACTGTATGAACTATACTATGCCAATTCACCAAGACGTCCCATTAGACTATGGTCCTAATCCTTCAGGTCCAGGAAATGAATCCTGCAAAGTGATTGGTTATGTCTAAGAAGTATTGGTAGCTGTGCCCTCTATGTGCTCTTACATATATATATATACACAGGGGTTTTCATTTGCTGATTTTTAGAAGTAGATTGTCAGGATTTTCTTTCCAGAAAGTCAAGCCTTTCTTAGTCTGGAAACTCATCAGCATCGTAGCAACATTTAAGCCTGCACAGCCCAACAGGTTGTGAGTGTGCTTGGGGAGCTTTTTTAGGAATTGAACCCATGTTTTCTGCATGGAAGGTGAGCATTCTACCATTGAACCATGACTTCCCTCTATATGTGAGGTTGTTAAGCACCTTCAAGTGGGTTCTGACTCATAGCAACTCTTAGTAGTGTTGCTGAGAAGCAGCTGGTGGGTTTGAACCACCAATGATGCAGATAACAGTCCAATACTTACCCTGCAGTACCACAGCAGGACGCCATATATGAGGATAGGCAAATCCTTTAGTCTCTGCACTTTAAAACGTCTTCATCTCCAAGATCTTTGTTGTTCAACATGAACTTGCAATTAGTTGAATGGCCCCTAGATGGTGTTATTGTTCTGAATTAGGCTTTGTATTTTGTACTCTTAAATACAGTGAAGTAAAAAGGCATAGGTTAGAAAATGATTTTCCATTAGTTCTGAAAAATTCACAGTTAAGAGTTCATTCACTGGCATTCAAAATGGCATTGAATTATGAATCATATGGCCCATGTGCATTTGGCATTAATTAAAAGGAATAATCCATGAATGATTATATTGAAGTTAACATGTCCCCTGATCGTTAGCCTGCATATCCATCACTATTTTCTCTAAGTATATTTATCTAAGTTTAAGAAAGGGAATAAAAACTACGCAATTATTAAGAATACTGGCTTATAACTAACCCTATAGAAAAGTGACATTTTTTTCAAATGCCAGTTCTAAAATCAATCTTGATAAATACACTGATTTTCCCCCATTTTGAATTATTTCAAACTGTATTAAATGCCTGTGAATTCTATGAACGCATTGATAGACAACACCCATTGAGAAATATAAAAAAGGGCATCTTTTAAAGAAATCTGCTGTCCTTTAGTGTTCAAAAGAGTAGGAAAAATACAGTAAATGGATTACCTAATTCAAGCCTACCAAAGAAAAAGAGCTTTTGCTTTAGGAGACTTAGATAAACAATAAAAAATTTCATCTAAATTTCCTGAAATGTGGAAACAAAATGCTTTCTTATTTCTCTCCTGAGAAATTCACTAATTACAAAAACCATGGCTCTCCCTTAAATCTGGTTGAATATTGCCTTCAATTCAATCAACATGAGGAGGCTTCAAAGCATTCATGGAACAATTCCATTAACTTTTCATTCTATTTTCCACAAACTTAGTATAGAGAACAAGATAGTATCTATGAAAACCCATATACTACACATTTTGACGTTCTGTTAGTTAAATGAGTAATAAATGTCTAAGCAAAAAATAGAGCATGACAAAATGAAATGACATTGGATCAACAGTGAGTTTTGTCACCAAATTACAGAGGAAAGATATTGAGTAGATTTAAGACAGTATTTGTTGAATTGAAAGTTTGTTCTTCATCCATTGATCTATTCAAGCAAGCATTCATGCATGCATCCACCAACCAATCAAACAATCTTTATTGCAGCTGGGAATACAAAGGCAAATAAGATACCATTTCCATTCTCAAAAAACTCAGACTAGTATACGAGAAGGACTTTGAAAAGTTCGGTTCAGTTTATTATTGTGTCAAGTAGATTCACAACTATTGCACTTATGGCTCTGCTGACAGAAGGTCAAAATTTAAGAAGGATAATTTTTTTCCAACAAAGCTAGGTTTTCAGAATCTTTAAGGTGTTACAATTATACAGGCAAAAACATCTACTACAAACCCATACCATACTCCTCACTTCCTGCGGATACAAATGAGAACATATTTCTCATGGGTGAAAATGAATTTCTGAATGAAATTTGATAAGTTTCCCTTCTATTGTCTTCTTTACCCAAAACATGTAAAAAACTTACTTAGCCATCATACTCCAAGACCTAATGCAACCAGGGAGATGAACTTTAATCAAAGTCAGAGGAAACACTGCCTGTCTTCCTTTACAGAGCGCCGTGTGGTTGGCGTTGTCTAACAGTTTGACTACTGGTGGCCTAACTTTTAGGCCAAAGGAAAACAATAACAAAATCTAAAAAGTGGCCCAGCATATGAAAGTCTTCTCAAAAATAGAAGAAAGTTATGAACATTGTTGGGTGGGAAAGTGTTTTACAATTCCAATGAAACTCTATTCCACTGATCCGGTTTGGAAGATTGTCTTTGACCTATTTGGCTTTTGCCCATAAACTGAAATTGATTTAGTCACGTAAAGACCACTTTTTATCTTAAGCCTGGAATGGATAACAATGGATAGCAGGAAAGTGGTTTTTAATTTACTCTAATAATAATTGCACAGGGATGAGTTGGTTAAAAAAAAAAAGGATGTCCTAGCCTTTAGTTCTCTTAAATGATTTCTCATACTGACTATACTGTGAAGAAATGAACTGTGGGAGCGGATACTTCTTCCCATCTTAACAGTTGCTCTGTAATCTATGATTTTACATAGGATTCATAATGCACTACTATAAAAAGACACAGCTTTTATATATTACTGGGGTAACACAAAGAAAATGCATTTTTCTTTGGGTCCAGTAATTGTCAAAGGAATGATTGCAGATTCAGAAAATGTGCTTTGTAATAACCCTGTTAACATAAAATATACATTGCAGAGAAGAAATAAGTATAGCAGGCATGTGGGAGGGTTAGTTGTATTAGCAAGGCATTTCATGGATGGCTTTAGATCCTTTGACTAAGTAAGATATGCCAAATTTTTACCCCCTCCAAATCCTAGGATAAACAGGAAACAATATGGCATGGAGCATTTGATGAGCGTGAGCTGATTTTCACCATGCGCTAACAAGTGCCTAAACCAGTCAATTAACTATCTCCTCCTGAAGCAAGGTTTGCCCCAGTAATAAGGATATATGCTCAAACTGTTGAAATTAATTTGAATATCAAAAGTGAAATTTAGATTACCAGTGATGTCCTGATAGTTACAGCATTTAGAACATCAAGCATACTCTTTTAAAACTAAAGTAACAACTGAAGCACAGTTAATTCACTTGTGCTGATTAAAATCGATGTCCAAGTGCAAATGTGTGTTACCGGCGTTGGCTTCCACGACACCAGGTGATTTCCTTGAGGTGAGGACAGTGTATGCATCTTGCTAATCCTGCATGCTGTTTTCCTTGGGACTATCCTGGGCTCATGGTTTCCAGGTGCATGTTTCTACTGTGAATGAAAGCGAAATACAAACCGTAGAAGTTTTCTGCTTTCAGAAAATTCTAGTGTACCATGTACAGCGTAGGTATTTCCCTCTCAGTAAACAAAACAACATGAAACAAAAAACTAGTGCAAAAACAGATTTGATAGTCAAAGTGATAGTTCAAGTGAGTTCTTGTGCCACGGAACACAGTCAAGTTTCACCTTTAGTTGACTTGTACAAACTGAACATAGTTTTTGGGAAATATACCAGATTTCCCCATTAGTTCGCCATTCATCCAGTCCTCATCCACAGATTCCAGCTCTGTTATTATATCTCCAGCCTGTAAGAAGAGAGGAATTGGAAATAACTATTGGTTTCTGTTGAGCATAGTATTCCCTAGGTGGCACATTAGGTCATGTGCTCTGGGCTACTAACACCAAGAGGTTGGCAGTTTGAATCTATTCAAGGCGTTTTGGAGGTAAGGTCTGGTGATTGATTTCTGAAAGACCACAATGCCATTGAAAATACCATGGAGCAGTTCTGTTTTGATACACATGGGGTTGTCATGAGTCAGAATCATCCCAGTGAAAACTGATTTGTTTGCTTTTGATCTGTTGACTATACAAAGCATGGTGAACATATACCTGGTGCTGCTGCTGCTGCTGTTGTGGGCTGTCAAGTCAGTTCCGACTCATAGTGACCCCGTATAGGGTTTCCTAGGTTGTTAATCTTTACAGGAGCAGAAAGTCTCATCTTTCTTATGAGGAGGGGCTAGTGGATTCGAATTGCTGACCTTGTGGTTAGTAGTCCAACTTATAACTCACAACACTACCAGGGCTCCTTGAACTTATACCCAGAGAGGTATGAGTAATCTTCTCTTTATATTAACGAATTTGCCTTGATTTAGTGAGAGGGTGAAACTATATTCTACAAAGATGATGTATGCCTAATAATACAATTTGCTTTTAGTTCTCAGTTCCTGACGAAGCCCATTCCTTTACCAGTACTTTGATTGTCTAGTCCATGACATTCTTAGTCTCTCATACTACCACTTCTAATCTAAAATTTAAAATCCTCTTGAATAAAGAACCATACTAGCTATCATATATATATATATACATAAACTTTTATTATATTCTATGAGTGGTGCAACCATTTTCAGTTTTCTTAGTTGTTCCTCTCCATTAACATAAACTCATTCCCCGCTATCTAATTCCTATCTAATTTTTTGAGTTGTCATTGCCAATTTGATTACAGTCCTGGTGTGGTGCCTGTGGGTTAATGCGTCAGACTGTAAAGCTTGAACTGAAAGGTCAGTGGTTCCAAGATTAATATGTATATATTGTTGTTGTTAAGTGCCATTGAGTCAGTTCAGACCCATAGCGACCCTGTAAGAGGGTTTCTGAGGAGCAGCTGGTGAGCTTGAACCACTAACCTTGCAGTTCAAACCGTCTTTGCAGTCCGGTGTATTAATCTGCAGCAGCACACCAGGACTATACTTTGTCTTATTCTATATATTTTAAAGGTTCTAACTAGTCTAAATGACAAAATCCTATAAGGTGGTATGATTATCATTATCTCTACTTTAAAGATAATTTTCTAAAAAAAATTTATGTTTAAAAATTTTTGTTGTTGAGACTGTACACAGTAAAACATCGTAATTCAACACTTTCCACATGCACAATTTCAGCAACTTTTATTATATTCTTTGAGTTGAGCAGCCATTTTCAGAGTTTTCTTAGTTGTTCCTCTCCATTAACATAACCTCACTGCCCCCTATCTAATTGAGTTGTTGTTGCCAATTTGATCACAGATATCTAGATCTTAAATGCTTAGGCCCCCATAAAAGGTACCTTTTACATTTACTGTTAGTTGTTGTTGAGTAAGCTCCAATTCATAGAGACTCCAAGCACAACAGAACAAAACACTGCCCGTGGCTATTGTTGTTGTTAAGTGCCGTCGAGTCGGTTCCGACCCATAGTGACCCTGTACAGGGTTTCCAAGGATGTAAATCTTTATGGGAGCAGCTTTCTCCTGCGGAACGACTGGTAGTTTCAAACTGCTGACCCTAAGGTTTGCAGCCTGATTCATAACCACTACGCTACCAGAGCTCCATTGCCATTACCACTGTGTATTTTGGTACCTTCCGACCTAGGGAGCTCATCTGTCAGAACTATCAGACAATGTTCTTCTATTGTGAGCCACAGGATTCACAGGGTTTTCACTGGCTACATTTTGGGACTAGATTGGCAGGACTTTCTTTCTATCTTAGTCTGAAGCGCCACTGAAACTTGTCCCTCCTGGGTGACCCTGCTGGTATTTAAAATATTATGATAGCAACACACAAGTTACCATGGTATGACAAACTGATAGATGGGCGGTGGTCATTTTCATAGATCTTAGCATTTTACAGAAAAAGAAAATGAAGTTCAGAAAGATGAAGCAACTCACCTAATGCATGCTTTATTGTTGTTGTTAAGTGCTGTCAAGTAGGTTCTGACCCACAATGACATTGTATGGGGTTTCCATGGAGTGGCAGGTGAGTTCAAACCACTGACCTTGTAGTTCAAACTGACCTTGTGGTCTAGTGCTTATCCTAAAGTGTCAGCAACTGGTAAAGCCAGGATCCAAATATACAGATTCCCAGCCTGTATTCCCAGCCACTAGGCTATGTGATCATCCATATTCTACAACATGGACCTTCTTACTTAGAAAGGCTTTTGCTGTAATTGCCTTTCATCAACATCCTGAGCATTTTACACTCTGCATTTATTCTTCCACATAATGGTTTGTCCCATTCCTTCACGGCCCCAGTAAGAACTCTGTCTGCGTTCTTCCCTGTCTTAAAGAGCTTCACCTTGACTCAGAGCACTGATTTATCCTCATCAGGTGAGTCAAGGGGGCGGGTGAGTCTTATTCATTGGCAAAGTATAATTCCTTCAGAAGATGAAAAAATAATTTGTGAAATTATCCCTGCAACTATTTTATGGTCTTTATGGTTTCTAACCATTTCAGAGAATCTGGTATTAAAATTCTACAATGGTCCAAGACGACTCTGACTACATTTAAGAATATCTCTATCAAGCTAAATGGATTTATTTGTAACCTTAGTACATTGCCCTCCAGAAAAGTGGTTTCATTTCAGGCTTTTCTTTATGGAAAATGGAAAGGAAAAATGCTGACTATCAAATATCAGTAATTTACTCTGTTAAAAATCTCTAAAAATCCAGGCTATTTGAAGTTTCTATTATAAATAAGTTCCTCTGACTTCTAAGTAATAATATAATGGGTGACTGGAACCACTTTTCTTAGCTCTGGTCATATGTACACGTGCTATGTCAGTTTCCTGAGGGCTGTTGTTGTTGTTATGTTGTTAAGTGTCATCCAGTCATCAATTTCAACTCATAATGACCCTGCATAGGGTTTCTGAGGATTGGTTGGTGGGTTTGAATTTCTGACCTTGTTGTTAGCAGTCCAATGTTTATCTCACATGGTCACACCAGAACTCAAGGAATATATATGGTGGTGGTGGTGTGCTTTGGAGTTGGCCCCGACTCATAGTGACCATGTATAACGTTTTCGAGGCTGTAAATCTTTACAGGAACAGAAAGCCTCATCTTTCTCTCACGGAACTGCTCGGAGTTTCAGACTGCTTTACCATGAGATTAGCAGCCCGACATGTAACCACTATGCTACCAGAGCTCCTTAGGAATATATATACACACACAGAGAGAATTCTATCTAGTAACGCTCTGTAATAAAATATTAATAATAATCAACAATCCTGGAAGCAATGCTGAATGCCTTAACTAAAAACTTTAGCACTATCTTGCTTCCAGCCAGTCATCTGTACAATAAAGACAGCTAATCTTTTTGGAAAACCAAATCAAACCTACTGCCACAGAGTTGACTCCACCTTAGAGTGACCCTATAGGACAGAGCACTAGAACTGCTCCTTTGGGTTTCTGAGACTGTAAATCTTTACAGGAGCAGACAGCCTCATCTTTCACCTTCAAAGTGCTGGTGGGGTTGAATTGCTGATCTTGTGGTTAGCAGCCCAACCCACAGCACCACCAGGGCTACTTTATCTTCTGTAATACGCTGTGAATTCTGTTATTTATATACTTGTCGTCATGTGCCATCAAGTCAATTCCAACTCATAGTGACCCCGTATAGGATTTCCAAAGAGTGGCTGGTAAGTTTGAACTACCAGTACTGTGGCTTAAATTTACCTTGTAGTTCAGTGCTTATACTAACGCACCACAACAGGACTCTGTTATTTATACTTGTTATTGTTAAGTACTGTAGACTCGATTATGCTAACAGCAAGCGATCTTGTGGGTCAAACTGACCTCGTGGTTGAGCACTTATTCTACAGCACCACACCAGGACTCTGTTATTTATACTAATGTAACTTAAATGATGGCCAAAATTATTTCAAAAGTTCTGAATGCAGAATTCTTTAATTATACTATTTTTTGTAAAGATAACATTAAAGAATTTTAAACCATTGACTCTCAAGATTAAGGTTAACTGTTCCTAAAATTTTAGATTCTAAGGACCAAGAAATTAAAAATACTAGACAAAGGGAACTGATATAGGGGTGCCATCTTTTAATTTTACATAGTTAGGACAGAAGAAACATCACTAATTTAAATTAATATTTTGTAATACTCATATGACTTCATTTATAATAATATCAAATTCTCTTACAAAATAAAAAGTTAGCCAACCTTACAGCAGCGTATCTCAGCATGTCCAACTCACTCTCCTATTCCCCTATGAACCTGCACACACCCAATACCACCTTAATGGGCATCTACTGTTTTAAGTCTCATCCAATCACCCAGATAATACTTTAATTTTTTTCTATAGCATCCCTGACTCTGATTGAACATTTCCAGTGAAGTGGAATTTACCACTATCTAATACAGGCTATTCAGAGAACATGACTATTAAAAAGTTATTCATCGTATCAAGCAAAATTTATGTTTTATACTTTCCACCCACTGTTCCATAGCCGCTTCAAGGGCCTCACAGCAAAAATCTAATCTTGCAAAGGATGTTGCTTTAAACATCTGAAGCCTAAATATCTTCTGATTCCAAGAACAATCCTACTGTTCCACCACAGACCCCTGGGGCTTTCCTCTGAGCATGGTCCAGTATGGACTGAAAACAGGGCCATCTCATTGTTTTGTCTTGTTTTAAAAATGAGAGAAAAGCACTACTTTAAAGAAGATAAAAAATATTCCAGTTCTTTCAAAGATGTGTTAGTAGCAGGTTGTAAGGGTCAAGGAGAGAATCACACTGTCTTGTTATATTGCTAAGAGAGTGGATTCTGACTTGTGGAGACTTCAGGACAACTGAACAAAATGGTGCCAGTATTGTGTTATCCTCACAATCACCAGCATGTCTGAGTCCATCATTACAGCCACTATGGATCCTTCACTAGGGTTATCAATAAGATCCCCATATTACTGAGATGGATTCCTGGTGTAGCATTGCAGGATAATGCACTGGATCACAAGATTGGGGGTTCAAACCCACCAGATGCTTCTTGGAAATGCTATGCAGGGTCACTATGAATTGGAACTGACTCGATGGCACTTAACAACATTACTGAGATTAGATATTGTCCTAACTTCTTAGTGTTGTTATTATAGAAATACCACAATATGCGGCTTTAATGAAAAGAAATTTATTTTCTCACAGTTGTTGTGGTACTGTAGGATACGAACTGGATTGAAAACCACAAGGTTAGTGGTTCAAACCCATCAGCCGCTCCTTGGAAGCCCTTATACAGGGCCACTGTGAGTTGGAACTGACTCGATTGCGTTTAGCTTTAATGTCAAACTGGTTCCTACTCATAGAAATCCTGCATAAGGTTTCCAAGGAGCAGCTGGTGGGTTTGAACTACTAACCTTGTGGTTCACAGTTGGTACTGATCCTACAGCGCTACACCAGGAGCCCTGAAGTCCAAATCCAGGGTACTAGGGGATGGCTTTATTTTCTGTCAGCTTCTGTTATCAGTTCTTGCTTTTTTGCTTCTGTGCCTAATCTGCAATTTTTAAATCTCAAAGACACAATGTATACCCAATGAGGCCATCCTCATTAACATAACATATGCTTTATGTCCACTGGTGAGTTTGAACCACTGACCTTGTGATTCAAAACATAGAGGTCCAGTGCTTTATCCCACAGTGCTACACCAGAACTCTGACAGACATAGGGTTTAGAATTCTGATGTGTGTGTGTGTGTGTGTGTGTATACAGATTGGCAGTTCAAACCCACAAAATTATCTTCAGAAACACTATTCAGGGTTGTTATGAGATGGAACCAACTTGAGGTTAAAGCTAAAAGCAGTTGAGTCAGTTCCGATTCATAGTGTCCCTATACAGGGTTTTCAAGGAGCAGTTGGTGGGTTTGAACCACTAACCTTGTGGTTAGCAGTCCAGTGCTTATCCTACAGTGCCACACCAGGACTCAATACACATATATATATCTTGTTGTTGAGTGCCATTGAATATGATTCTGTACAGGGTTTCCAAGAAGTGGCTTGTGAGTTTGAACAGCCGATCTTGTGGTTCAAGCTGACCTTTCAGTACAGTGTTTTATCCCACAGTGCCACACCAGGACTCATATATATATATATACATATATACATAGGAGCTCTGGTAGCGTAGTGGTTATGAATCGGGCTGCGAACCACAATGTCAGCAGTTCGAAACTACCAGCTGTTCCATGGGAGAAAGATGAGGCTTTCTGCTCCCGTAAAGATTTACAGCCTTGGAAACCCTGTACAGGGTCGCTATGGGTTGGAACCGACTCGACAGCACTTAACAAAAACAACAACAACATACACATATATAATGAGCTCTGGTAGTGTAGTGGTTACGAATCAGGCTACGAAACGCAAGGTCAGCAGTTCGAAACTACCAGCTGCTCTGTGGGAGAAAGATAAGGCTTTCTGCTCCTGTAAAGATTTACAGCCTCGGAAACCTGTACAGGGTCGCTATGAGTCAGAACCGACTCTACAGCACATAACAACAACAACAATACATACACACACACACATATACATATATATATACACACACACACACACACATCTATATATACATATAGATATGTTTTTGTTAAGTACCATCGAGTCAGTTCCAACCCATAGTGACCCTGTACAGGGTTTCTGAGGAGGAGCTGGTGAGCTTGAACCACTTACCTTGCAGTTCAAACCAACACTTCAGTCCAGTGCATTAACCCATAGCGCCACATAAGGACTCCATATATGTGTGTGTGTGTGTGTATATATATATTTGTGGGGGCACATAACACAGTATATAACAAATGTTATTAAGCTAAGGAATGAGGAATCAGATTGGAGTCAATGAGGCTATTAAGCCAGGCAAGTTTGCCCTAAACACCCTCTTAAACTCTGGTTGATAATGAACATTATCAGCTAAACTCCCTATTCATTTTCTCTAGCTTCTTCCTTTAGAAATAGGATCTGCGATCTCTTCATCACTGGCGAATGATCAATACTCCATCCACTGATCCACCTTTCAGTGTAGAGAAGACATTTCACAATTTATAGCTGTTTAATATAGCTATGTAATACAATGCTGTATTATGAGAAGACATACATTCTGACCTTGAAGGAAAGCTCATTTTCATTCTCCCCATGGAAATCAAATAAGGCTTTGGCCTTCTTTCCCTTTGGTATTGCAGCAGACGAGCATTTTGCCTTAGCTGTGAAGATACCAAAAATTCAAAATGTAGAAAACACTGGAATGAAGTACAACATAAATTTAAGAAACCCATTTCTCACTTTTATAACAGAAGATTCTCAATTAGTTTTAAAGAGATTCGATTTGATTTCTTAGTGGGGCAAAATCATGAGACATATATTTAGTAGATACAATGGTTGTTGTTGTTAAGTGCTGTCGAGTTGTTTCTAACTCACAAAGACCATGTATAGGGGTTCCAAGGAGCAACTGGTGGGTTTGGATCGCCAATCTTGCAGTTTGCAGTCCAGTGCTTATCCTACAGCACCACACCAGGACTCCAATTAGTAGACACAATTGTTGTTGTTGCTAAGTGCTATAGAGTCAGTTCCGACTCACAGAGACCATGAATAGGGCTTCCGAACTGCTGACTTTTCGATCAACAGGCCAGTACTTATCCTACAGCACCATAGCCCTAACAGAGTAAATGAGTGGAGCTTGCATAATGTTATAAACTCAACTCTTTCAAATGTAGCATGCAGGCAAACAACTTTAACTGCACATACATACAGATGTATATGTACAAGGGGGCTTCAAAAAGTTTATAGAAAAATTCCATTATTTTTTAATTCCATTTTTTCTTGAAGTTTTTTAAATTTAAATAAGGAGAACTGTTTCATATGGAAAGAGCTAGCACCATCGCATATTTGAAAGGAGAAACAATAGGTACTGAACCTGGGCAATGTTTGAACTTTTAGAAATTCTCTCAGATGAATAGATATGTGTGTGTATACACATCATACATAAATACACACATACATAAAGGAATCAGCTTGCTTTAGCGAGTAAGATTCATTTCTTGTAATTGTACCTGGGCAGGGCCGCACAAAAACCGCAGGGAAGATCCCCTCCTTGTCATGTAGTCTACCCTTGTACCAGTCAGAATCTAAACGCTCCAAGATCAAGATCCGGTCTCCCCTTTTGAAGGATAAGTCTTCACTAGTCTCCGCTGTGAAACTGTGTAGAGCTTCACACCATTCTCCAGAATGACTATTATCCTGTTACAAATCAGAAGAGTTTGGTAAGAAATGTTAAGATTGCATTTGAAATTAATTTATAATTTATAGGTTGCAAGATTTCAGGTAAGATGGCAGACTATGCAGATGCACTGTACAGACCCTCTACAACAAAGATACGAGAGACCAAATAAAACAGACATAGATGAAAATCCTGGAACCCTGACCTGAATTTCAGAAGAAAGTTTAGTGAAGTGGATCAAGAGCTTGCTAGAAAGAGAAGCTGAGCAGGGATGTGACAGGTGAACGGTCAAAAGAATGTGGCTTGGTAGAGTCAGACAGATGACTGGAAAGGAGTATTCTTTTTCCCTCCAGACAGGAGACAGCAACTGTACCCATACATCTCAGCCACAAGGTTACTCTCTGCACCTCCACCCATTGGGCAAGAATGAATAGCAACTCCTATTCCACCTGATCAACAACAGACAGCAATCAATACTAGCAAAACCCACCCTAAACCGAAATGCATGAAGAGCAAATAAGAACAGGGAACAATTTTCCATTTTCTAACTACACCCACAGGAGACAGCTGGAAAGAGCCTAGGACCATATCAACATACAATTATCAGTTAAATACAAATAAAACAACTCCACAATGTCCCGGAGACAACAATTTTAACTCAACAAAGAAGAGAGAATGGATCACACAAATGACCAAGATGCAGAGTCAGAAAATGTTTCTGAGAAAGATTGAAGAAAGATTGAAGGAGAATACAGAAAAAACTAAGAATTCAGGAAAACACTATAAAAACAAACTGACAAAATATTAAAACAATATCAAACCTGTAAAAAGAAATCCAGAAAATTAATACTAAGATATCAGAAAAGGATAATACACTGAAAAGACAAAGGAGTAAATCTGAAGCAATGGAAACCTGAATTAGCAAGCTTGAAGATAAATCTCTCAATACTAATATGCTAGAACAATCGGAAACAAGAATGAAAAAAATCTGAGGAAAGCCTAAATTATGTTGGACACCACGAAGAGGAACAACATATGGGTGATCATAATTCCAGAACAGGAAGAGATAAGAAAACCACAGAGAAAATTGTAGAAGAGTTGTTCAAAGAAAACTTCCTTAACATCATGAAAGACAAGAAGAAAAGCATATGAGAAGCTGAATGAATCCCAAACAAGATACATCACAAAATAAAATCACCAACACACATCATAATCAAACTTTCTAAAACCTAAGACAAGTAAAGAATCCTGACAGCACCTCAGGAGAAATGAAAAGTTACCTACACAGGAGAACCAATAAGACTAGGCTCTAATGTTCCAGAGGAAACCATGAAGGCAAGAAGGCAATGAATGACATATATAAAACTCTGAAAGAAACAAACTGACAATCAAGAATCATACACCCAGCATAGCTGTCCCTAATATATGATGGCAAAATTAAGACATTTTCTGATAAACATAAATTAAAGGAATATGTAATGATCAGACCAACCTTACAAAAAATGGTAAAGGGTGTTATTTGGACTGAGAACCAACAATAGCAGACAACAACCTGAGATTACCATATATGAAAACAATAAAAATTTGTTGTTATGTGCCATCAAGTCGGTACCAACTCATAGTGACCCTATGTACAACAGAATGAAACACTGCCTGCACCAACCTCACAATCGCTGCTATGCTTGAGCCCAATCTTGATACTCCTGTGCCAATTCATCTTGTTGGAGGTCTTCCTCTTTTTCTCCTACATTCCACTGTTACCAACCAGGATGTCCTTCTCCAGTGACTGATCCCTTCTGATAATATGTCCAAAGTATGAGAGATTAAGTCTGGCCATCCTGGCTTCTAAGGAGCATTCTGGCTGTACTTCTTCCAACACAGATTTCTTAATTCTTTTGGCACTCCATGGTACTTTTAATGTTCTCTTAATACCATAACTCAAATGCATCAATTCTTCTCTGATCTTCCTTATTCATAGTACAACATTCACATGCATATGAGAGTACTGAAGATACCATGGTTTGGATCAGGTGCACCTGAGTCCTGAAAGTGACAACTTTGCTCTTGAACACTTTGAAGAGGTCTTGTGCAGAAGATTTGCCTAATGCAATACATCCTTTGATTTCTTGACTGATGCTTCCACGAGTGTTGATAATGGATCCAAGCAAAATAAAATCTTTGACAACTTCCATCTTTTCTTCATTTATCATGCATAGCCTTAATTACTAGAAAAGTTATATATCTCTTCAACATTAGTCATTTACAATATCTCTTAAACGATTTCCCCAATAATGTCTCCTTCCTAGTTTTCTATCATGGACTGAGTGTTTTTCTTACCCATTTTTGATCTTATTATAAACTCTGTGTTTCATAAAGGCACTATTTTATTTCTGTAAACATTTGCTATATGAATTAAAAATGATTAATATTTTCTCTTCATTGTTGTTGTTCTTCTTAGTAACTCATAGCACAGCAGAACGAAACACTGCCAGACCCTGGGCTAACCTCAATAATGTTGCCACACTTGAGCTCACTGATGCTGCCACTTGGCCAATCCATCTCATTGGGGGTCTTCCTCTTTTTCTCTGACCCTCCGCCTTACCAAACATGGTATCTTTCTCCAGTGACTGCTCCCTTCTGACAATATGTCCAAAGTATAAGAGACGAAGTTTGTCAGTCCTGACCTCCAAGGAGCACTCTGGCTGTACTTCTTCCAACACAGATCTGTTGGTTCTTTTGGCAGCCCGTGGCACTTTCAATATTCTCCTCCAACACCATAACGCAAAAGCATCAATTCTTCTACAGTCTTCCTTATTCACTGTCCAACTTTCGCACGCATATGAGGTTATTGAAAATACCATAGATAGGGTCAGGTGCACGTTGTCTTCAAGCTCACATATTTGCTCGTCAACACTTTAAAAAGGTCTTGTGCAGCAGATTTGCCTAATGCAATATGTTGTTTGATTTCTTGACTGTTGCTTCCATGAGTGTTGATAGTTGATCCAAGAAGAATGAAGTCCTTGACAACTTCAATCTTTTCTCTGTTGATAAGAATGTTGTTTATTGGTCTAGTGGTGAGGATTTTTGTTTTCTTTACACTGAGATGAATCCATACTGAAGGCTGTGCTTTTTGATCTTCATCAGTAAGTATTTTAAGTCCTCTTCACTTTCAGCAAGCAAGGTTGTATCATCTGCATATCGCAGGTTGTTAATGAGTCTTTCTCCAATCCTGATGTCATGTTTTTCTTCATATAACCCAGCTTCTTGGATTATTTACTCAGCATACAGGTTGAATAAGTATGGTGAAAGAATACAACCCTGTCACGTACCTTTCCTAATTTTTCTCTTGATAGTTATCATTAATATCCCACAAAGAGTTTAAACTTGACTGTCATCTACTCCGGTACCTACCTGAGAGTTTGAGCGAGAATCTTCATTTTTGGTCTTCTGTGGTACCGTTGAGCCTACATTAAAAGAAAAGAAAAAAGCTACAATGTCAGCTGTATAGACCATACAGTATTGGAGAAAAACTGGGGGCAAAAAGTAGATTCTGGAATTCAATGCCAGACTCCCCATGTATTGTTATGTAATCTTAACCTGGTACAGTCCTCTCAGGGTTTGCTATTTTTTAAAACAAATTAATTAATTAATAAAAATAATTTGTTTAACTTAATTTTAAAGTTAAACTCTATTATCCAGTTCTGTTTAAAAATCTACATGATTCTGTCTGGCATTTCTCTAATGAACCTATTGCTATTTACCAAAAAATATAAAAAATCATCTCTATGACAGATTATCCCTGTAAGATTAACTAACATAAATTACCATTTAAAAATAATTTTTCTTTCTACTTTATGAAATATGGTAATATGGATTGCTACGCAGCTTTATCCTATTATTTGGTTTTATTTTAAATAGGACACGATGCAATCAAAAACTCCATTACTTACTTAAAACATTGGAACTGGAGGTGGGATGGTCCTCTACAAATTCCACAAAATTAAGGGGGAAAATCCCAGTTTTGTCTCGAAGTTCACCTCTGGCCCATTCCTCATTCACATACTCTTTAAGAATAATAATTTCTCCCTCTGAGAAACTTAACTCGTCCTTCTGGTCACCAATATATTCAAACCGAGCAACACATTTTGAGTCTCTGAACAAAGTAGAACACATTTGTTGTTTAAAGTACAAAGCAATTCATTTTCAGAATACTTTAAAAACCTTCATTTGCCGTTTCAACAAGCATTCTAGATATAATTTAAAGTTTTCCATGAAAAAGAATAAGCTACACTTCTAAACAATCATCTTTACTTTTGAAATAGGAAGCTGTCCACCTCAGAAATGTGAAAAGTCCAGGACATGGAATTCATGTAGATTCCATCTAAGCAGCTGGAGGCCAGTTTACACAGCCATGTCCTTCAATCACCTTTACTGCAGCCCAGAGTCTCCCATTTCTACATTTTTGTATCCTTAGGTCAGAACAACCCATGGCCCTCCTGATGATAAATGCACTGAGTTTAGAAGTGCTGACCCTGAGAATCTCAAGGCAGGAAATCAAACTACTACGGCAAAATGCAACAGGTATTAGCCCGGTACAAAAGAAGATGCTCAATATATGTTGAATCAATCAGTGAATGGAGTATATAGATAAATGACTTTCAGAAAACTAGGGGAAGGTAGGAAGAAAGCAAATTTGGCATATCATTTCATACCACTTAATCTTATGCCTAATACGGTTTCTTTTAAAAATGATTTTTGTATCCCCTTTAAAAAGGATTCATTTCCGAGAACAAGAATGATCCTTAAATGATCTGCAATTCTGACTGAAAATAAGATAAAAGCAGAGATAAAACTGTGTGTCTGGAAGGCATGATTTAATACCCAACCTTCGATTTGAGGAACACAGGCTTTAGAAAGGAGGTTTCAATAGCAACAGGCTAAGGAGAAGCAAGTGCCTGAAGAGAAAAGATTGGTCTTGGCTCCAATCAAATTCTGATTTAAGTCAGGTCAATGGATGAATGGCTGTGAAAGCCCACTTTAAATTCAACCTGCTGACACAGTAAATACTGCTTTAAAATAGGAGAAAAATTGAACCTCAAGTAGAACCCAAGTGTTTTGGCATTGCAAGTTTTCTTATTTGGGATAACCTTTGCATTTATTTTCTAAAGTCCTCTGGGAGCATCTCCTTATGTCTGATCTATTCAAAGACAGGTTTACAGTCTTCAGCAGGTTGTTGTTGTTGTTGTTAAGTGCCTTCGAGTCGGTTCCGACCCATAGCGACCCTGTACAGGGTTTCCGAGGGTGTAAATCTTTACGGGAGTAGAAAGCCTCATCTTTCTCCCGCGGAGCGGCTGCATTGTATTAATTTGTTCATTTAACTATAATATAAAGTTTCATTGTGGCAGTGTTTTAAATCACAAAGGAGTTACAATGATACATCAAATGGTATATAAATTCACTGAAAGGGCCTTAGATATAAAGACAGACCACTGTAACTTAACTCCTCCTTTGTTTTCTCTTAGTTTCTCTTGAAAAAACAACAAAATACAAAATGCCTACCAGTTTCTACAGAGTTTGTTTCAATAAGGCTTAAACATTTGTCCATGGCGAAGTTCCTGACCTTTCTACAAACTACTTGCTAAAACAACACAGGTTGTTTTTAAGTGTCATTGAGTCAGTTCCAACTCATAGTGATCCTGTATATGGTTTCCGAGGAACACTGAGCACCTGGTGGGTTTGAACTGCTGATCTTGCAGTTAGCAGTCCAGGGCTTATCCTACAGTGCCACATCAGGAGTCCTGATCAACATCCAATCAATGATGTTAGGGATTGCATTGTGCCCCATTAAGTTATGTGTTGAAGTCCTGAATCCTCTAACTATGGATGAGGTCCTACTTGGAAATAGGATTTTGTTGGTTATGTTAATGAGATCATATAAATGTAGGGTGCATCCTAAGCCAATTGCTCCTAAGTTTAAAAAGGAGTATATTCGTAGCAGATGCCTGGGCTATAGAAGCTGGGACAAGAATCTTCTCTAGAGTACATAGATAAGCCTTCCCTTTTAGTCAGGGCCCTGAATTCAGACTCTTAGCCTCCTAAAATGTGAGAAAGTAAAATTTTGTCTTCTAAAGCCACTCTTGTGTGGCATTTCTGTTACAGTATCCCTGGGACTCTAAGACAGATGACAAAGCCATCTCTGCTCAAACTGAGGCCAGACTGTGGGAAGCATCTGGATGGACCCCACTGCGCTGCTCTCTGTACGTCTTGCATGGATAAAGAGAACTTACGCTTACGTCAGCATCTACCAGCGTGGTGCATTTCCATCAGAATTTTAATCCTCTAACACTTTTTAAACAAGCAAACTTGCCCTCATAATTAAAAAGACACACTGAGAAGCTGAATAATCACATATTTAAAAGAGCGCAAGCTTGGTCATTTTTTTTTAAATGATGTAAATACTTGCTGTTATGGGTTGAACTGTATTCCCACCCCTCAAATATGTATAATAAATATGCCTGGTTATAATCCCATTTGGGAACGGGTTGTCTTTCTTATGTTAATGAGGTAGGATTAGTGTAGGGGTGACTTACAGCAATCTCTTTTGAGATATAACAAGAGATTAAATAAGTAAGTGAAAGAAGCAGAGATGGGGAAAGAGAAATGTCAAGCAACATGAAGAACACCCTGAAGCTCGAAGAGACAAAGAAAAAGGTTTGGCAATCTGCTCTTAAAATATCAGCCATTGAAAACTCAATGGAGTACAGTTTTGCTCTCACACACATGAGGTAGACAGGAGTTAGAGCTGACGCAATATCCTCCCCAGAGTGACAAGAGAATACCTTTTCCTATTGTCAGCATCCCGAATTCAGACTTGTACACTCCTAAATTGTGAGAAAATAAATTTGTGTGTTTTTTTTAATGTTTGGTGTTTTCTTTTAAAAATCATCTACTTGTGGTATTTCTGTTACAGCAGTACTAGATAACTAAGACACATGCCTCCTTCACATTTTGTAGGAAAAAACACAAATAAAACTTACTTGACACAATGAGATGAAACCGGTCCTCTTTTCCCATTTCCTCCTTCTGGAATATCAATCTAAGAAAGACAAAAATCAAGGGGACAATGATATTTTTTCAGTTTTATAGGATTTATATTAAGATTTAATTTTAGGTAATAAGGAAATCCCTGAGTGGTATAAATGCATGCTCAACTGCTAATCTAAGGTGGGTGGTCTGAGTCCACCAGAGGCACAGCAGAAGAAAGGTGTGACAATTGAGACTCCCCGCAAAACCAGTCACTGAAAACTCTGTAGTGCGCAATTTCACTTTGACCCACATGAGGTAGCCAGGAGTTAGAGTTGACACTATGTCAACTGTTGTAATAGTAAAAGCATCGCTGAAATCAACATGGTAACCTGATAAAGTGGTACCACCTGTGCAAAGAGTCTTACCAGGAATTCTGGTTTTGAAAAAAATTGTAGCTTGTGGTGCTTCCTTCTCCTCATGTTGCCAATCAACCCTTCTTTCATTTGTTGCAACAAGCACACCCATAGTATCCAGTTCTTGATGGAGCTTTCTTTATCCCATGTCTTCCAAATTGAAAAGTTCAAACGCAAACAGCTTAAGATAGCAACTAGGCCCGGGTTTCTGTGTTAAGGACTACCACACCTACTCAAGTACTGGAGGAATGCTGCAATACTTCCTGGACCCCAAAGTAAAACATTTTACTAAAATCTAATTTTCTCCATATTCATAACTCTTAAATTTGTAACTCCAAAACAACTATTTGATTTATATAATATCTCCTTTACAAGGTTCAGCAAGTTTCTTGTTGCTAAGCGCTGTTGAGTCGGTCCCGACTCGTACCAACCCTGTCTAGGATTTCTGAGGAGCAGCTGGTTGGTTTGAACCGCCAACCTTGTGGTTCAAACTGACCTTGTGGTCCAGTGCATTATCTTGCAGTACCACACAACAAGTTTGGCTGTATAAAATATTTGACCTTGATGCATGCAGTCTGAAAACTACTTAGGTTTCATGTTCAACAAAGCAATGTCCTCTTGATGAATTCTAAAAGTTCAAAGTTTTAAAACAATTATTTTAAACTTGCGGGCTTAGAAATAACACTTAGACCAATACTGTGGCAAATTCAGTGTGATTGATTTTAGTGTGGTAATTGTGCTTTTAACAGTGCTGCTACATTGGGCAGAAGAAAAATGAGGAAGAGTGTTAAAACTAACATTATTCTTAATATTAATTTAAAGAGTATGGTTGGATTTCTCAAAAAAAAAAAAAAAAAATTTTTAAAGACCACCATTTTTTATAATCCCAGAGACTCAAACTCATTTATATTTGAAAAATAGAGGTAGCACTGTTAAACTTGTTTTCTAAGCTCCTGATGTAATGGCAAATTATTTGCTTTTTCTCCCAAATAAGCTATTAATGCTCAACACTGTAAGCTGGTTTTACTGATATTTCCCAGTCTCAATAAATGATATCAGGAACTGAGTCATACTCCTGTTGATATAAATGTTTAAGTGGCAGTCTGATTTTATCCCCATATTTCATAGCCACCTGGGCTAAGTATTTGCTGATCCCTCTTACTGGTCGGCTTTCACAAGTCAGGTGCTGATCATGTATAAAATTCTGATACTTTAATATAATGCTCCCCACTCAAATAGGAAATAATTTGTAAAAACGTCTTTAATGGACTACCAGTTCTAATAAAAGTTCTTGAGTATTTTCAAATACGTACGTATTTATAGATGGAAATGGGGATAGAATGGATGGAAGAAACCAAAAATAAACTGCACTCCAAAGCAAATGAGAAGTGGTACCGTAACCTCAGTTTCTTAAATGAAAATTTATTGTGTTAGTTGCTGCCAAGTCAGTCCCAATTCATGGTGACTTTATGTACAAGAAAATGAAACACTGCCTAGTCTTGTGTCATCTTAACAATTGTTGTCATGTTGCAACCACTGTGTCAGTCCATCTAGTTGAGGGTCTTCCTCTTTTCACTGACCTATACTTTATCTCAACGACTAGGCTACAAGGAACTCTGGTCGTGTAGTGGTTACGAATCAGGCTGCGAACCACAAGGTCAGCAGTTCGAAACTACCAGCTGCTCCGTGGGAGAAAGATGAGGCTTTCTGCTCCTGTAAAGATTTACAGCCCTGGAAATCCTGTACAGGGTCGCTATGAGTCGGAACCGACTCCACGGCACTTAACAACAACAACGTACTTTATCTTGGTGTGGCACTGTGTGTTAATGTGCCAGACTGCAAAGCTGTTTGAACTGCAACGACGGAAGTTCAAGCTCACCAGCTGCTCCTCGGAAACCCTATACAGGGTCACTATGGGTTGGAATCGACTCGACGGCACTTAACAACAACATACTTTATCAAGCATGATGTCCTTCTTCAAAGGACTTTCTACTGATAATACGTCCAAAGGATACGAGACCACGTACAAATTAGGAGTCCTGGTGTGGTGCTGTAGGATAAGCACTGGACTGCTAACCTAAAGGTCTGTGGTTCAAACCCACCAGCTGCTTCTTGGAAACTCTACATAAGGTTGCTATGAGCTCTGGTAGCGTAGTGGTTATGAATCAGGCTACTAACCTCAAGGTCGGCAGTTCGAAACTACCAGCAGTTTCGCGGGAGAAAGATGAGGTGCTCTGCTCCCATAAAGATTTACAGCCTCAGAAATCCCATGCAGGGTCACTATGAGTTGGAACCAACTCCTCGGTACTTAGCAACAACAACAATGAACCAGAACCGACTTGGCGGCACATAACAACAATTCATTTTATGAAGTGTTATAAAAAAATATATTATAAAGGGACTTCAAAAAGCTCATAGAAAAAAATTTCAATTCCATTGTTTCATGAACTATCTGAAACTCTTTCTTATCCTTTAGTGCCTGAAATCCTTCCAAGAATAGTTGCTCACCAAAAGACTTTGTGGTGGGATTTCAACTTGGGATTTTAGACAGCATTTAGAAATTAAGTTTTCATACTCCATAATACAATAATTAACCATTACCTATTTGACCAAGCCTTTTTTTTTCAGTGTTTTCATCAGATGTACCAAAGAGAGAACTAGAATCCAAGTATCTAGATTTCTGATTATTTTTTCCAACCTGCAAATCACATAGAACCCACTTTCCTCTTTCACTGAGTATACGACAAATTAAAACAAACACAACTCACAATTACTTTGACGTAGTTAGCAGGAAATAGACCAGTCTGGTTTCTACATTTCCCTCTGTACCAATCTGTATCTATTTTTTCCAGAAGATAAACAATGTCTCCAGAAACGAGGTTCAAATCATTGACTTGCTCTGCAATAAAAAATTGTAATTATGTATGATGAATTATCTTGCGTATTTGATTAGCGATTTGATTAGAACAGAGCACAAATTAGCGATTAGCTCTTTGCACTGAAGCACAGTATGTTCGACTGATTCTGAGAACAGATTATGCTAATCCAATTGATTTTTTAAAAATTACTATTCTTTTTGGGATGTATTTCTATGACCTCTCATTTTAAAGACCAACTTAGGTATATTTACCATGCTCTGATTCATGAGAAATGGTCAAAATAAAAATATTATGTTAGCCAATGATTCCTACTGTGCCAACATAAACCCCTTGCTGCCAGTTTTACTGAATACACACTGAATAATTGAAAGGGCTTTATAAACATGGTATAATATTCATATAATTATTATCATTCATGCTTAGAAATCATTTCAATTTGAAAATATTAACTGAGGGAGTATGTACTATAGCCCTTTAGCAAGTAAATTTACTTACACTAAAATAAAAATCAGTCTACCAAGTAGATACGCTTTTTTTAAAAAAAGAAATTATTAATAACTCAGGAGATGATTTATTAAAGTTAATGATTACAAAAACAAATTTATATTTTGATTTCATAGGTAGGAGCTGCGATATGGATATAAGTTTTACAAATCTTAGGACACAAGAACTTATTAAATCAGAATGAAATTTCAATGCAGTTGCTAATTGGTACCCACAGTTTTGAAAGATTTCAAAAGCCTAACTGGTGGGCAATTTATTTGTAAGGGAAAACATTCTCTCTCTCTCCAAGTTTCAAAGGTAAGGGTTTACAACTAAGCTCTCTGGAATGTTGGGCGTAATCAACACTTAAAGAAGACTGATGGCTAATGTGACCACCCCAGTTTCAGACTCTGTGGGCACAGAAATGAAAACCCATGGCCTTGAGAGGGCAACTCAGGGAGGATGCATGTTTCTGGATCTCAAGCTTCTACTATTGTTTTATTTATGTCCTTACCTGCTTGGAAATCATGAAGAACAACAGCATAAGGAGCACTACTGTCAACAGGCTTCTGAGAATGGCTTGGATCCTTAGGGGGGAAACAGGGCTGTGAATAAAGTGTGCAGGATGGATGCTGGATTTATTATTCACTCTGAGACCAACTTTTTTCATTAGAATCCTCTTAACAGGATTATATTAGGAGTACAAAATGCAAACCTCACAGTTGAACCAAATAAGGAAATCATTATCAAGTTGAGAAGGAATATATCCTTGCCAAGGGAGGACAGAACTAAGTCTCAGCTCTCAACATCCCTAGCAATGTTTTTTAAATGAGAGAGTAAAACAAAAAGGACTTGTTCAGTCTTTTTCTTTCTCCCTTTCTAATAGTACCTTGGTGTAGTGCTGTAGGATAAACAAGGTCAGTAGTTCAAACCCACTAGCTGCTACTTGGAAACCCTATATAGGGTAGCCAAGAGTCAGAACCAATTTGATGGCACTTAGCAACAATCAAGTGTATCTTGAGGACTCCTGGCACTGTAGGATAAGCACTGGAATGCTAACCACAAGGTTAGAGATTCAAACCCACCAGCTGCTCCTAGGAACCTTATACAGGGTCACTATGACTCAGAACAATCTTGGCATTGCATAGCAGCAGCCACCATCTACCTTGAAGCAGTGGTTTCTGATCTCTCTCAATTACAAGAGTAATGTTTTCTTTAAACTGTGACCAGGACTAAGGCTGGAGGACAAAGCCTTAAAAATTGTATCACTGTTAGGATGGGAAAAGAAAAGCTTTTGCTTTTCATAATGAAAGGAGCTCATGCGTTTCTACAAAAGCATAATTCACAAAGTAAAATCCATTTTAATTTATTACTACTTAACTAAGTGCTTTCTCTAATTTGAAAACAATGCTAACTCCCAAGCCTGGCCTGGGCTTTCTATTTAACCTGAATAGTTTATTCATTGGTAATTCTAAGAAAATTCAATATTCTGTACCCATTTAGCCAATTGCCTAGACTGGCTAGAGGAAAGGGTAAATTTGAAAACCATGGCTATTGTTAGTGTATCTGTATAAAGCGACAAGCTTATCCACAACACCATCACCGCCATCAAGACTGATTGTAGGAGAGCATTATTTGAAGTTGCAATTTAAAACTCACTGACGCTGGGAAATTGTAAAATAAACGTAAGCTGATTTTTGTGCATTCCATGTCCCTTCATCTCTTTTAATGACTTTGTCCCTTTGTCCTCTGCCCTCTCAACTGACCAAACCTCATGAGGATGATGGCACATTTTTTCATTTCCATCTGCAGTACCTTTTTGGTCAGGATGTTTTCTGGATCAATTTTTTCAACCAAAATGCATCTGTTGAGGTACACACTCAGTGTTGTTAGGTGCCGTCAAATTGGTTCCGACTCATAGCAACCCTACTCACAGCAGAACAAAACACTGCCCGTTCCTCTGCAGTTGCAGATACGTTTGAGCCCATTGCTGCTGTCACTGTGCCAAACCATCTTACAGAGGATCTTCCTCTTTTTCACTGACCATCCACTTTACCTAGCATGATGTCTTTCTCCAGGGATTGGCCCCTCCTGAAAATATGTCTGAAGCATGAGTGAAAAAGTTTCCCCATCTTTGCTTCAAAGGAACATTCTGGCTGTACATCTTCCACCACAGATCTATTTGTACTTTTAGCAGTCCATGGTACTTTTAATATTCTTCTCCAACACCATAACTCAAATGCATCAATTTTTTAACAGTCTTCGTTGTTCACTGTCCAATTTTCACTTGCATATGAGGCTATTGGAAATACCATGGTTTGAATCAGGTATACCTTAGTCCTCAAATTGACATATTTTCTCTTCAACACTTTAAAGAAGTCTTGTGTAGCAGATTTGCCTAATGCAATACAGCACTTGATTTGATTTCTTGAAGGCTACTTCCATTAGCGTTGACTATGGATCCAAGTGAAATGAAGTCTTCGATAACTTCAATCTTTTCTCCATTTATCATGTCATTTATTGCTACAGTGGTGAGAATTTTTATTTTCTTTACATAGAGGTGCAATCTATACAGAATGTTGTGGTCTTTGATTTTCATCAGTAGGTGTTTTAAGTCTTCTTCGCTTTCAGCAAGCAATGTTGTAACATTTGCATATCACAGTTGTTAATGAGTCTTCCTCCAATCCTAATGCCACGTTCTTCATCATATAATCCAGCTTCTCGGATTATTTGCTCAGCATACATACTGAATTAGTGAAAGAATACAACCATGGTACATACCTTCACTGATTTTAAACAATTCTGTATCCACTTGTTCTGTTCTAAGGACTCCCTCTTGGTCTATGTTCAGGTTCCTCAAGAGCAAAATCAAGTTTTCAGAATAATCATTCTTTGCAATGTTATGCATAGCTTGTCATGATGCACACAATAATAAGCCTTTGTATAGTCAATAAAACACAAGTAAAATTTTTCTGGTATAATCTGCTTTTAGCCAAGATCCATCTGATCTCAACAATGATATCCCTTGTTCCACATCCTCATCAGAATATGGCATGAGTGTCCAGTAGGTCTCTGCTACTGTACTGTTGCAGCCATTTAAAAATTATCTTCAGCAAAATTTTACTTGCATGTGATATTACTGATATTTCTCAATGATTTCCACATTCCGCTAAGTCATCTTGAATGGGAACAATTATGGATCGCTTCCAATTGATGGGCCAGGTCTTCAAAATTTCTTGGCATAGATGAGTAAGTATCTCTGGTGCTACTTCAATTTGTTGAAATAGTTTAATTTGTATTTTGTCAATTCCTGGAGCACTGTTTTTTTACCAGTACTTTCAGTGCAGCTTGGACTTCTTCCTCCAGTACCACTGATTCTTGATTATATGCTATTTCTTGAAATGGTTGAATATCGACCATCATTTCATTTTTTTTTTTTTTAAGGTTTTATTATGAATTGAGTGAAAGTTTACAGGGCAGATCATCAGTTTTACTTTCAACAAATCATATGCTTTGTTTCATTACAATGATTATAATTCCCTCCATATACCATTAGTTAACAGTATTTCTCTCTATTCATTTTAGCATTTTTAAAACAAAACAAAACAAAACAAAAAAAACCACTCAGGCATATATAATAATTTAAACCACCAAAGGGCACCTTCTGCAAGTCTGCCTCCTGGCTGCCAGCTCTCAGTCCCTCTCTTTCCATGAATCTAGAGTCCTCAGTTGCTCCCTCTCTCCTTGTCCCCATCTCTGGTGTCGATGCTTCTCTGGATAAGGTCCCACAATCCACTTGTGCTCTTCTCCCTTGATGATGCTAGGGTCCTCTGCTTCTGGACTTTAAGATTAACTACTCCCCTGGTTTTGTTACAAAACTTCTACTTTTACAATTGTGACAGCTGCAATTAGTCATGATAACAATGACTTATTATAGAATCATAAGAATCTTAACGGCATCTCTTTTTACCAAACCCATCTAGATAAGATGAAAACTATTCAGTAGGGACTCTATCTTCCCCCCACACACTCTTAAACTCCCTCTTGAAACCCTATAAGCCAGTTACTTTGTGCTTTTATCGCCCCCTCAATTTAGGTAGCCAGTGTCTAAACTGCCTGTCCCTAACTACTCAGTAGGGAGCTCTGGTAGTGTAGTGGTTACGAAATGGGTTGTGAACCTTAAGGCTAGCAGTTCGAAACTACCAGCCGCTCTGCAGGGAAAAGATGAGGCATTCTGCTCCCGTAAAGATTTACAGCCTCAGAAACCCTGTACAGAGTCACTATGAATGGGAACAGACTCGACGGCACTTAACAACAACAACAACAACTACCCAGTATGCAGAGGGGATAGCATTGATACTTGATGTGAAGACTCCTTCCCTCTCTGCTGGTATTTTGAGCTACTGCTTCTTCCATGAGTATAGGTCAAGTTCATCAAATTGACCTTTATCAAAAATTGTTTTCTAGTACAGTTCTAAGGAGCACTGGTTAAATATAGTGGTTATGAATAGGACTGCTAATCTCATGGTCAGCAGTTTGAAACTACCAGCTGTTGTGCGGGAGAAAGATGAGGTTTTGTGCTCCCATAAAGATTTTACAGTCTTGGAAACCCTATGCAGGGTCGCTATGAGTCGGAACTGACTCCATGGCACATAACAACAACAACAACAACAACAGTAGAGTTCTGATTATCAAGCCATCGAGAGTAGGTCAGATGGGTACTATCTGTGACCATTTCTTTTTGATACAGTGACTCTATATATCTTCCATTTTATTTTGATGCTTTCTGCAACATTCAATACTTTGCCCATTATTGCAAGTCAAAGCTTGAATTTTTTCTTCAGTACTCTCAGCTTGAGAAATGTTGAGCATGTTTTTCCTTTTTGGGTTTGTGACTCCAGATCTTTGCACATTTCATTTTAATATTTGACTTTGTCTTATTGAGCTGCTAATTGAAATTTTCTGTTCAGTTCTTTTACTTTCTAATTTCTTCCATTCACTTTATAATCTCTATTCTGGAGAGCAAGTTTCAAAGTCTCTTTGGACATCCATTTTGGTCTTTTCTTTCTTTCCTGTATTTTTAATGATCCTTTGCTTTTTTCCTCTAGTCTGTTCTTGATGTCATCCCCACAACTTTTCTGGTCTTTGGTTATTATATTACATCAGGTTACATAAACTGAATTTTTTGTTTTTAATTTTTTATTGTGACTTGAGTGAAAGTTTACTGACATCATTTGTTTTGCATTCAACCGATCATATACTTTGTTTCATCCCAATGATTGCAATCCCCTCCACATAACAACAATGATTCCACTTCCTTCCTGCAGTTCTTATTGCCATTCCACCCTCCTTCCCATCCCTTCTCAACTCTGTCCTTAGTATATGTCTCCTTTTTGATCTTGAATGATTGACCATTTCACAGTGAGCATACCTTACTAGTGTTGTTGTCCCGCTATGTACTAATCTACTGCTTGGCTGAAAACTGAGTTCCATGCTAGACCTGAAGAGTGGCCAAGGGCCACAGCCTTGTGTCCTCCAGTCTCTTTCTGACCAGTAAGCCTGTATTTTCTTTTAAAATTATTTAGAGTCCTGGTAGCATAGTGGGTTACACGTTGAGCTGCTAACCACAAAGCCAGCAATTCAAATCCGTCAGTTGCTCCTTGGGAGAAAGAAGAGGCTATCTGTTCCTGTTAAAATTTACAGCCTTGAAAAATCTACACAGGGTCACTATGAGTTGGAATCGGTTCCATGGCACTTAGTCATGAACACCAATATATTCACAGAGTTGTGAAAACATCAACACAACTTAAGTTTAGAATGTTTTCATCCTTCTCTAAAGAAACCTTGCTCCCATCAGCAGTCATTCCCTGTCTCTAGCACTAGTCTACAGCGCCACACCAGGAATCCTCATTAAGTAGGAAGCAGTGAGATGCTGTTTATGGTGACAGAATATTTGGTAGTGATTATTGCGGGGGATTGCACATGACAAATATAATTCATGTTACTATAGCGTACATGTGGAAAAAACCGCATTAGTAAAAGTATCATATGTGTGTATATTTACAATAATAATAATTAAAAAGTTTAGAGAAATGAAGTAACTACTTAAAGTGGTAGAAGATGAACTCAAACCCAGCTCAAGGAGATCCAAGTTTGTGCTCGTAACCATGCACAAGACAACAATCTCCTATTGTCCCCATCCCCTGACAAATGTAAACTCAACTGATACTGCTTAGTATTCTCTGTTTACTATGAAAGGCAAAATATAACACAGTTTTAGGAATCTTTATCTTAAAACTGGGCTTTTAAAGTAGGTTGGTTGGTACAAGCATTAAGTTGGTAACCTAGAGGTAGTCAGTTCGAATACACTCAGTGGTGCTGTGGAAGAAAAGCCTGGTAAAGACCTTTTATAAAGACTACATCCAAGAAAATTCTACGGAGCAGTTCTATTCTGTCACATCTGAGTCATCACGAGCCAGGGGCTAACTTGATTACACCTGACAACAACAAATTTAAAACTACAACAAAAATCCCCCAACTTTCAGATAAGTTTCATTGTTTTCTAAAAAACGTTAACAATAGCCAACATCCCAGATGCCTAACAGAAACTTAACCTCAGTATCACCAGTTGGCCATCAAGAAGCCTTGGAAGCATAATGGTTTACACGTTGGGCTGCTAACTGAAAGGTCAGGAGTTCAAATCCACCAGCTGCTTCTTGGGAGACAGATAAGGCCTTCTGCTCCCATAAAGATGTATAGCCTCTGAAGTCCTATACAGGGTCACTGTGAGTCAAAATTGACTTGATAACACTTAACAATAACAACAAGTCTATATATGGCATCCTGGTGTGACGCTGTGGGTTAATGCACCAGACTACAAAGTTGTTTTAACTGTAAGATCGGTGGTTCAAGCTAATCAGCTGCTCCTTGGAAACCCTATACAGGTTCACTATGGGTCTGAACCAACTTGATGGCACTTAACAATAACAAAAAGTCACTGTAAAATAAGCACAGCACTGCTAACCACAAGGTCGGCAGTTCAAACACAACAGCCACTCTATGAGAGAAAGATGAAGCTTTCTGCTCCCATAAAGATTTACAGCCTCAGAAACGCTGTAAGTTGTTAACAGACCTTAGAGCACACAACAGCAGCAGCAGTTGGCCAGTAGAGGTCAACTCTCTGCAAATCAATAGTCTAACGTGAGTAAGGTAATGTTTAAGGTGGAAAAAGCTTAGGATTGTTCTCAAAGTATAACTTCTAATATTTTTAGTTTCTATTTTGCACAAAGGAAAGCCTTTCAGCAGTCTGCCTCCCACGTTAACTTATCAGTGTGTTTTGGGAAAGAAAGGTCAGCTAAGACAGATGGACAATGCTATATCAAAACACCGAGAAAATGAGAAAAAGAAGGAATTTTCCTGGGTGAACTAAAGTTAGAATTTTCAGTATTTCAGGCCCAAGTAGCATTAATGACTTATCTTCTCTACTCTCCAAAATACCAATTTTCAGTTTTTTTCGCTAACTTCCAAAGAAAAATTTCCTTAAGGAGAAAGACTGTATGTTCTAGATTATGAAAACTTGGATGATAAGCAAACCAGATTATTTTATTGCAGTTACATGATGGTTGAGTGTTTTTCTTCATGTTTGCTACATTCATTAATATGGAAAAAGATAAGACTTTCTGCTCCTGCAAAGATTTAAAGCCACTGAAACCCTAAACAGGGTCACTATTGAGTCAGAAGTGACTTAGCAACAACAGAAACATTCACTAACAGGTAATGAACATTTAAGTGGCTACCTTAGAAAGCTTTTAAAAAGATATATCTCGACAAATGGCATTTTTCTGGATAAACAAATGATCTTCCACAAGGCCCAAATTGTGACTTGCATTTGTTAGATTACATTTCATTTCATTATTTCATGAGCTATAATCAGAGAAATTAGGTCTACACCAAGTTTAAATCTTAAACGGATATGTTTTTCACATTAGACTTGGCAATTATAGGACTCCCTTTAAAAATAATTATTCATTCTGCTAGGAAACGAACTCTGGAACTTGGGTAAACATGTTTACATTACTTAAAAAATAAACATTTCACAGTTGAAAATTAAATGACTGAGTGCCTGGTTGCTTATCAGCATGATATGAAGAAGGCAAAACACAAGACAGTCACTCTGCATGTCAAAGTGATTAGTATAGCAGTGGCAAGTCTCTTAGAAGTCATTTATTTGCAAATGGAATAAAATGCAACTGTAATTTTTATTCTGGTGAAAATAAATGTGCTAATAAAAACCCGAGGATGAGATACAATGAATAGTCCTATGAAATGTGATGTCATGTGTGATCTGAGGGCTGTACCATATTAATTCCTTACTTTGGGTCTTTTTTGAAGATGTTCATCAAGTGGGGTGATAATCTTCAGTGGAGACAGGTGAACTTTGCCAGTATCGTCTCCCTTTTGGCATTCCAAGTAATTATTTTCAGTCTGCTCCAGCATCACAAGAACATCCCCACGCTGTAAGGTACAATACCACTCTCTGAAGCAATTATTATTTAATAAAACATTATTACTTCCCCCACCCCGACACACACACAAGCACTTTTTCATTTTTGGAGCCTAAAGCATTTAATAATGTGTAATAGAAATAAGAAAGGCCAGCCATTTTTTACATAAGTCAGTTAGGAAAGAGGCCCACTTTACCTTACGAGAGAGTTTGCTGGAGTTTTCTGAGACAACGTCTTCATTGGCAATTCCATGAGGCACAGACAGCTTAAACATAAATCAGTAAAAGGATTATTCACAATCAAATAACTTCCTTGTGAATTGCTGATCATTGGGGATTTGGTATGTAGCCTTCAAATGCAACTCTCTTTTGGGGATTCCTCATGCTCTAGAACTGTGGGGCCTGCCATTGGGAATGGATATTCAAAGGTCACAGATATGAGAGGTAACTTGGCAGCAAGCTCTCTTCATTAACCACAGCTGGGAATCTCCATTCTATTGGCAGGGCCTATCAAGTCCTGCTAACCACTGGAAGGCTACATGCTCAGCACTTGGCCTCAGTCTGTCAAGGTACATCTTTCATTCAGTGTTCTTGACTGCTGCTTTTTAAAGGCTGGCAGGAAATTGAAGCCGTCCTTGTAGTGTTTGACTGACTTGCATTTACCATGAATCTTACCTTCTCCTAGAGTCTCTCTGGTACCAAGCATTTAATTAACCCCCTGGCCCCTGCCACTTCTTGGTCTACTCAGCTCATTTTGACTTTAGCATTTTTCTTATATATCTGCATCCTACTCTGACTAAGGGAGTCCTGGTGTGGTGTTATAGGATAAACACTGGACTGTTAACCACAAAGTCAACGGTTCAAACCTAAAAGCCTCCTTGGGTTACTATGAGTCGGAACCGACTTGAGGGCACTTGACAACAACAATAATCCAGTACAGGTGGCTCGGTTCCTTGCCTTGGTGGGTTTCAGGTGACCAGTGCAGGTTGGAAGACCACGCAATCTAAGACACATACCCAGGAAATATGATCAGATAAGCTCATTCCCAACAAGAAAAGGGAGGCTGCCTGGGCCCACGGATCACCCAAGAACACAGATGAGGAGTGCAGGGTGTGGCCCTTTCAGACTGTGTTGGGTGGTACTGCTTCCCAACAACTTGGTGATAGTCCCCAGGGTCCCATTGTACCCAGATTCCAGGCTAGCTTTATCCTTTTGAGGCTAGCAATTTAAAGGTAGGGTTGGGTGCTGTCCAGTGGTTTTTTGACTCAGCAGTTCCATGGTGCAGAATCATTCAGTGGTTCATTCTGTTGTGCACAGAGTGGTTATGAGTCAGAGCTGACACAGTGACACCTAACAACAACAACAAGTAACCCCATGTGACAGAGCAGAACTACTCTATAGTGTAACCTTTAGGAGCAGATTCCCAGGTCTTTCTCCCATGGAGCTATTCAACTTCTGGGTGGGTTCAAACCACCAATGTTTTGGATAGTAGTTGAGGGCTTACCCACCACAGCTCCTTAACATTAGGGGAGTCATGGAAAACATGAGAATACCACTTGAAATACACCAGCATTTCACTAGTTTCTTAAATGTTTTACAAACAGAGATTATACAAACAACTATGCTAAGAGCAGTCAGTGAAATCTGTTCCCCCTGAATATGGTTCTGAACATGGTGCCTGGCTCGTCTGTTGTACACAACACACAATAGCTACTGTTTTTATGACCTTTGTTACTTATCCCAGAAAGTGCCCCTGCATATTAGCTTCAAAATTTTATCTTCAAAATTTTAACTGTTTATATGAGTATGAATATATATGAACATCACTGCCTATCTATCCATACCCTTTGTTATGGATTGAATTATGTGTCTCAAAAGTTCTATGTTGAAATCCTAACCTTTGTGCCAGTGGTAAGAATTCCATTTGGGAATGATTGCCTTTTTATGTTAATGAGGAAGGATTAATTTCTTCTCAGATATAAAAGGGATTAAACCAGCAAGCAAAGACAGAAAAGGATAGATGCCCTGAAACATGGCGCTCACCAGTGGTAAAGGAAGAGGGACCTCTCCCAGAGCCAAGAGAAAGGCTTCTCCTAAGTCAGCACCTTGAATTCACACTTTTTGCCTCCTAACTTGTGAGAAAATAAGTTCCTGCTTGTTAAAGACACCCATTTATGGAATGTCTGAGATAGGAGCACTAGATATAACTAGGATACCCTTGTCTAAGGAAGATAAACAAACAACAAACCTAAATGGCTTAAAGTGAAAACCACATCTAAGATTAATCACAGAAATGTAGAACAACATAAAATTATTAATTATAACTTTTGTAAAGAGCTACTTTGCCATATAGTTATTTAAATAGCATATAAAAAGGAGAAATTCGACAACATGGAGGACTAAGCAGATATACTACATAGACCCTGAACAACAAAGATACAATAAACCAAATCAAACACAAAAGATGAAAATTCCAGTACCCTGAACATCAGAATAAAGATTAAAATAATGGATGGAGTGTTTGCTGGGAGGAGAGGCTGAGCAGGAATGGTCAGAGAGGGAGGCTGACTGGTGAATGGCTGGCAGATTCTACTTGACCATCTTGTGAGCAACTGTGGCAGCAGAGGGAGGTCTGGCAGAGCAGATTCACATGGGTGACAGAACAGGTGTAATTTTTCCAGTTTCCCCACACTCTTCTGGTGACCAGAAGTGTGGCTAGCTCCAACCCTTACCCACGCCCAGCAAAGACCCTGTTCTTTGGGAGTTTGGAGCCATGTGGTAAGGAGTCATGCCAGTGTGAGGTGGGAACCAGCTATGCTACTTTGGTGCGTGAATTCAGGCGGGTTCGTTTTCAGACCTACAGAACCACTAGATGCATATTTAACCAGTCATGCTGTCCCTAGCTGTGGTCCTAGCAGATACTGAAACTAGCTCCATCAAAGGCCTCTACAAACTACTTCTGGACTGAGTGCCCTAAACATTGAGGCCAATAGGAACTCCATCTAGGGCCAGAAACTCTGTGGTCACATCCTTTCCACAACCATCTCATGACTCCTAGATTTTCAGGAGCCCAGATAGATATTTTCCCCCTCTGGATCCAATAACTGCACTATTTGTTTCTACAAATCTGACAATCCCACAATGCCTTGAGAAAACAGACAATATTAGTTCACATGAAGAAAAAATATAGAATGGATCAAACAAACAACAAAAATGAAGAGTCAGAACATATTTCTGAGGAAGAAAAAGTAACGGAACTAACAGAAAAAGAATCTAAAGGAATGTTAATTAGGTACCTTAAAAAGGATCGATAGATTGAGGAAAGCAAGAAGAACACAATAAAAATTGAAGAAGAATTCAGGAAAACACTACAAGAACAGACAAAATAGGGATGGAGCTGAGAGTGAAGCATCCAGCTGATATGAAGGGAGGGGAGATGCACAAGAACACCCAAACTTGCAGATAGTACCCATGTGAACTAGCCTTGATGGCTTGATACAACCACAGGAATATAAAAAAGAAAACTTTTTGATAAAGGAAATGAAGATAAATTACTACAACTTTATGAACTTGACCTATACTCATGGAAGTAGTAGCTCAAAATACCAAGAGACAGGGAAGGAGTCTTCACATCAAATATCAATGCTATCTCCTCTGTAAACAGGGTAGATAGAGACAGGCAACTTAGACACTGGCTACCTAAAATGAGGGGGCAATAAAGGCATAAAGTGCCTGGCTTACAAGGTTTCAAGAGGGAGTTTAGTTTAAGTGTGTGCGTGGGGGAAGATAGAGTTTCCACTGAATAGTTTTCATCTTGTCTAGATGGGTCTGGTAAAAAGAGATGGGGATAAGATTCTTATGATTCAATAGTGAGTAACTGTTATCATGACTAACTGCGACTGTTACAATTGTAAAGGTAGAAGTTTTGTAAGAAAAACAGGGGAGCAGTTAATCCTATAGTCCGGAAACAGAGGACCCTAGAACCATCAAGGGAGAAGAGCACAAGCGGAATTCAGGACCTTATCCAGAGAAGCAGCATCACCAGACATGGAGGCAGAGATGGGGACACAGAGAGAGGGAGCAGCTGAGGACTCTAGATTCATGGGAAGAGGGGGACTGAGATGACAGCCAGGGGGCAGACTTGCAGAAGGTGCCCTTTGGTGGTGTAAATTATTATATGCCTGAGTGTTTTTTTGTTTTAAAAAGCTAAAATGAATAGAGAGAAATACTGTTAACTAATGGTACATGGAGGGGATTATAATCATTGTAATGAAACAAAGTATATGATTTGTTGAATGTAAAACTGATCTGCCCTGTAAACTTTCACTCAATTCACAATAAAAACCTAAGGAGACAAAAACAAAAACAGACAAAATAAATGCAAATTTTGAAACAGTAGAAAATTTGCAATTAGAAACCCAGAAGATTAATATTAAAATCTCAGACATGGAAAATACATTGAAAGGGCAAAGGAGTAGATGCAAAGCAATGGAAACCAGAATTAGTGAGCTTAAAGATAAATCTCTCAATACTAGTATGGTAAAAGAGCAATCAGAAAAAAAAGAATGAAAAAATCTGAAGAAATCCTAAGAGTTACGTGGGACATCATGAAGAACAACTTATGGTAGATCAGAATTCCAGAACAGGAAGAGACAAGCACAGAGAATGTTGTTGAAGAGTTGTTCCCTAACATCATGAAACACTAGAAGATTAGCATACAAGAAGCTGAACGAACCACAAACAGGACAGATCCCAGAAGAAAGTCACCAAGACATATCATAATAAAACTTTTCAAAATCAAAGACAAGGAAAGAGTCCTCAGAGAAGCTCAGGAAAAACAAAAAGTTACCTACAAAGGAGAACGAGAAGACTAAGCACTAATTTCTCAACAGAGACTAAGAGGCAAGAAGGCAGTGGGATGACATATACAAAACTCTGAAAGAAAAAATTGCCAACCAAGAATCAAATACCCAGCAAGAATGTCCCTCAAATACAATGGTGAAACTGGGACAGTTCCAGATAAACAAATTAAAGGAATTTGTAATTACCAGACCGACTTTACAAAAAATGCTAAATGGTATTCTTTTACTGAGAACCAACAGTAGACAACAACCTGAGATTACCATACATGACAAAACCACACACAATCAATACAGATATAGACATATTTAAAGTAAAACAAATCTTTAAAACTGACAATAGGGAATCAGAGAGAACAATGTATAATGAAGTCAACTACAAAGCTAAAAGAGGGTATACTGTAGCTACAGAACTTCCAAATGGCAAAGAAGTCAATTAAATTTCAAGATAAAATAGAGTGTTGTAAGCAGGGGAAAAAAGTAACAGATTACAACAGGGTAACTTCAAAAACAAAAAACAAAAAAAAAAACACCTGCATATCAAAATAAAAAAAGAGTTACAAAGGCAAGCAAATCAGATTAACCTCTGACTTCTCATCAGAAATCATGCAGGCGAGGCAATGGGGAGACATTACAACCCTAAAAGAAAAAAAACTGCCAACCAAGAATAATCTATCCAGCAAAACTGTCAATCAAATATGATGGTGCAATCAAAATATTCCGGGATAAACAGAATCTAAGAGATTTTGTCAAAGCCAATCCAGTGCTTCAAAACATCCTAAAGGGAGTTCTTTGGAATGGAAACCAACAAAAACAGACAACAACCAGAGATTGACAGACATGTGAACACCACCTGTAAATCATTTGACAAATAGCGGAGTTCAGAACAGAACAAAATTACAACAACGAATTCAGAGGACCTGTGGGGCTAATCAAAGATCAAAATATCAACAATGTCAAAAGGAAAAACATAGGAACAGCGAACCAGGTGGTGAGGAGATCAGGTAGATTGCAGGATACAATAGACTGTCTTAAATGCAGGGAAATGTTAAGAGGCTATAGGGTAACCCCAAAGAAAATTAATACTTCACAACTTACCATCAAAATAAAAAAAGAAGAAAATATGAAAGATTTAGTAAACATTAATACAACTGAGATGAAAATGAAAGGAAACACACAAACTAAATGAACTCAATACAAAAAATCATGTGGAACAAAGAATCCAGCAACACCACACACACACACACACACACACACACACACAAAAAAAAAAAAAACACCCCACAGAGAAAAATGACAATAATGTATTCATTGTTGTTGTTGTTGTTGTTGTTGTTGTTAAGTGCCATGGAGTAGGTTCCGACTCATAGTGACCCTGCACAGGGTTTCCGAGGCTATAAATCTTTACAGGAGCAGAATGCCTCATCTTTCTCCCTCAGAACCGCTGGTAGTTTCGAACTGCTGACCTTACAGTTCACAGCCCAATTCATGTAGTTAAGTGCTATCGAGTAAATTTCAAATCATATAGACCCTGTATAGACAGGGTTTCTGAGAAGTAGCTGGTGAGCTTGGACCACCAACCTTGCGGTTCAAACCAACTTTGCAGTCCAGCACATTAACCCACAGTGCCACACCAGGACTTCAATGAATTCATACCTATTGATAACTACTGAATGTAAATGGATTAAATGTACCAGTCAAGAGATAAAAGGAGCAGAATAGATAAGCAAACATGATCTTTCAATATGCTGTCTATGAGACGTATCAAAAAGATGGAGACATCCTAAATGCCCATCAACAGAAGAACAGTTAAACATAGAATGGAATACTACGTAACATTTAAGAATAATGATGAAACTGGGAAATACCTAATAACATAGGTAAACCCAGAGAACATTATGCAGAGTGAAGTTAATCAATTAAAAAAGGACAAATACTGTATGAGACCAATGTTGTAAAAAGTTAAGAAAGGATTTTTTTGATAAAAGAAACAATCTATGATGGTTATGGCATGGGGCAGGAAGAAGGGAAAATTCATGGCTAGAGGGCAGACACATGTAAACATGGGTGACAGGAAAGACAATATACAACAAGAAGAAGGTTAGCAGAAGAAGGTAGTAGGAAACACAGGGAGGAATGCAATAGTTAAAGTGAATAGAAACAAATGCTGTTAATTGTTGGTAAATGGAGGGAAGCTAATATATGATTCGTTGAATGAAAAACAGATGATCTGCTATGTAAATCTTCACTAAATTCCAAATAAACAGCTTTAAAAAAACCAAAAACAAAAGTGTTTGATTGCCTGGTTAGGGGTTAGGGGTTAGGGGCAGAAGTATAAACAGATTTGTCCTCAGTTTTACTCGTTCAAATTTTACCAGATTAACCTGACCCAAAGTAGAGAGCATATAAACTCTATTTTTCAAATGTGGAAAAAGTAGACAAAGCTTTAAGATCATATGATGAAAGGGAAAAAAACCCACTGAAGGAGAACAAAATTAATATCCCAGCTATCTAAATTATTGATGAAAACTCTAAATGGCAACTATTAAATGGACCATGGTAATTTGGCCCAAGAAAGGCGGAAGTGAGGAAAAACCATCCATCTTAAATAAGAATTTTCTACTTCGTTTTAAATTTTACTCAGTGGCAAGGGAGCAATAGGAAAATTTAGTATCTGTCAGAGTTACTCCCATTAAAATAATTTTCTGGATCAGATTTCTTAGAGTTCCTATGTGGTCAAGCCAGACAGTAGTTTAGAATCCCTGTCTGCCCTGTTTCCTTTCCCTGTGTTTCTCCGAATAATGAAAGCCTACATTAAATACATAGGTTTGATTATGGCCTACTTATTGGACACCCCTTAGAATAAGATTTTGCCACTTATGTGGCAATTCCATATTTGTTTCATCATCTTTGTATAATTTACAGTGACATCTTTTATATGCTTTAGAATAAACCTCTTGATTGTATTTTTACAGTTAAACTTACCATGTATTTCTTGTAGAGAGGGTGTCCTGGTTTGGGGCGAGGGGGTAGCACCGGTTCTTGATTTTTTAAGACTTGACTCTTGGCTTTTGGAAGGCCACATGCCAAGTTACTTTGTTTTTTCTGAAGATCCATGTCAGAAGAGGACCGATTAAGAGGCAGATTTTTACATGTTGTTCTAGCTGCAGAAAGCTTCGGGGGAGGTGGTCTCTCAGGGGGTCCCTTGGGAGGAGGTTGCCGAGCTGGTATGACTTTTCCATTTACAGGTCTGAGAGTCAATACAGGATCCACCAGTCAGTTTTGTCTGTTATTCACACACACAAATATATATACACACACCTTTCTGCTACTGTAGCAGAATTTTCTGAAACACACTGAGTATGCTATTTTTAAGCAAACGACTGCAGCATTAAACATTATATTATTAGAAGAAATGCCATCATGTTCCAGTTTCCTCTTATCTTGCACTAGAGATTCATTAGTTCAAGACAAACAAGCATTTATTATCATGAGCTCTCGAAGGTGCCATTTACTCTTAACCACACCATGACTAGGTCAGGAAATAAAGTACTTACTAGTAAAGGCTGAGATGAAAGATGTATAGGACATAAGGTCTTGTGCATGATTAGAAAAGGCACATCAAAACCCTCTAATATTCATGTTATGGAAGTTATTATTAAAACCCGAATTTAGATTAATATAAAGAAAGCTAGTTCTAAAGACGGAACAGAACAACTGTTACTCTCAAAGCCTTTTTCTTAATCCCTATGATTAAAAAAAAAAAGGTACACTAAAGTAACTACTGATAACAACACAACCTTTTGTTCAACTACATTGGGAACTCACAAGTACAAGTCACCTCCAAGTTCATAAGGAAGGCCTGTCTCCTATAACAGGGCAGGAGGTGTGTGCATGTGTGTAGATATTTCAGAAGTGGAGTTGTTTTAGTTCTCTTGTTGGTTTGTTTTAGAAAAAGTAATATAGTTCCATCCTTGGGTAGTATAAATGGTTAACATGCACAGTTGCTAACCAATAGATTGAAGGCTCGAGTCCACTCAGAGATGCCTCAGAAAAAAGACCTGGTGATCTACTACAGAAAAATCAGTCACCGAAACATTGAATGGAGCCCATACAATTCTGACATGGAATCGACTTGATGGCAACTGGAATACAGATGAGTGTTTGTGATCTGTGAGTTTCTAGACTGTGTTAAAAGGAAAAGGACGCAGAGATCCCCGTGACCTGTTGTCAGGAGCAGACCAGAGGTTAGTAGCCTGGGAAAATTTATCAATTTAATATCTCTCATCTATAAGATCGACAGGTTTTGTGAGAGAAAAGAGAGTCAGGTCTCTGACACATCATTTTCTATGTTTCACTAATTTACTTACCTTGGTGGAAGCCTGGGGGGCCCTCGCACAGAACCTCCTGCTTGACCAGCGTGATCGGACTCCTGCAAACAGTGAAGAGTATTTCTGAGTGAAGGTTACTCTGAAACAACAGCTTGTCAAGCTGCATTTGGACAACTTTTTGGCTGAATCTTTAAATGGACAGTAGCTGAGTAGGCAAAGTAGAACTGATTCCTAGAGTCTTCACGTCTTTCGGGCACAGATTACCAGGCCTACTTTCTAAGGCACATCTAAGTGGGTTTGAACTGTAAACCTCTTGGCTAGTAAAGGAGTGCTTAACCATTATAGTCAAGAAAACCCTATGGAGCAGTTCTGTAACTACGTTGATGATGCTTCCTGGCCTGGTCCCACTATTCCTCTAAGGAATCGGTAGACGCACACAAAAGAAGCCACTGGGACAGAGATATGAACAAGCAAAGAGGTTTATTAAAGCACAGATGTTCTCATAAAGATGAGAATGGGCTACTAATGAGGAGAGTCCTGAGTAGACTCTCGGTATCATTTTTTGTAGTTTTTCATAAGGGCGTATACGTGGTCTTTGCATAACTGCTGATCTCTATGTTGATCAATCATAATTGTTAAGTGTCGCCGAGCTGATTCCAACTCATAGTGACCCTGTACAGGGTTTCTGTGGAGTGGCTGGTGGGTTTGAACTGCTGACCTTGTGGTTCAGTGTTTACCTACAGCGCCATACCAGGACTCCTTCTGGGTCTTCCATATTTCTTTTGCCATATATCACTCTGTTATAATTGTATTAAGAGTCCTGGTATGGCACTGTGAGTTATTGTGCTAGACTGCAAGGTTGGTTTGAACCACAAGGTTAAAGCTCACCAGTTGCTCCTTATCAGAAGCGATTTGAAGGCACTTAACAACAACAACATAATTGGATTAATGAGCTGACCTAAATGTTAACTTATTATAATGTATTATGATTAGCTCCTGGTTACATCCAGTCTGTTTTAGGGTTCTCTGCCCATGCCTGATTTGGGGTCAAGTCCCATCCCCAATCTTCTTCCTATTTGGGCTTTCTGATTGGGTGAAGCACATCTGGTATTTGCTGTGGTTAATCTGTGGGCAATCTCTCTTCCTTGTTCTAAGCATTTAACGTTCTATTTTGTAACACAGAGGGTCACCCTGAGTCAGATGGACTGGATGACAACAGGTTTGGCTTGGTATGACTGCAATAATGGGCTCCAACATAGTGATTGCAAGGATGATGAGGAGAACCAGGCAACTTTTCATCCTTTAAAATCACACTGCATGGTACACAGGTTAAGCATTGGCCTGCTAATTGCAAGATCAGCAGTGTGAATCCACCAGCCACTCTGCAGGAAAAAGATGAAGCTGTCTGCTCTCCCAAATGTAAAGATCTGGAGTCCTGGTGTGGTGTTACGGTTTAACATACTGGACTGCAAAATCGGTTTGAACCACAAGGTCGGGGTTCAAGCCCATGAGCCGCTCCTCGGAAACCCTATGCCGGGACACTGTGGATAGTGCTTAACAACAACAATAACAACAACAACAACAAAGGTAAAGATTTCATCTTGGAAACCCTACAGAGACATTCGACCTTGTCCTATAGGATCACTATGCGTCAGAATCAACTTCATGGCAGTGGTGGGTTTTTTGTAAAGGGATTCAACCATAATAATAGCTTGGGAATCAGCTAAATCAGACTTATTTCCCTCTTTCTCAAGGTATGGTGGTGGTGGTGGTTATGTGCCGTGGAGTCAGTTCTGACTCATAGTGACCCTGCACAGGGTTTCCGAGGTTGTAAATCTTTATGGGAGCAGAAAGCCTCATCTTTCTCCTGCAGAACAGATGGTAGTTTCGAACTGCTGTTCCTGAGGTTAGCAGCCCAATTCGTAATCACTACGCTATCAGAGCTCCTTCTTTCTTAAGGTATAAAAAAATTAAAACTCACGACCATGGTTTTAAATTCATACTGAATATGTACAACTTCTCTTTAAATACCAAATGACTAATTGTCAATAACTGCAATCATTTGAACATGCTTCAATTTTATAAAAAATTTCCATTTTTAAAAGCAAATTAAGCTTGCCTTTAAAACTTGGTTTCACTAATGGGTTCAGTTAATGCAGTGAGGCAAGTCACTGGCTCATAAACTCTGCAATATTACAGAATATATAATCCATGCCTTATACACTTGCAAATTTTCCCCCTGCAAATACTGCTAAGATATTTGATAAACTCATTTAATTCTTTGGTTATCTTTAATAGTAACACAAACAGGTAAACAAAAAGCTGTAATAAACAGGCAGGAACTTTCATTGTTCTTCTTTCAAAGCTGGTGTTTGCTGCTGAGTTAATTTGGACTCACTGTGACCCCATTTAACAAAGAAGAACCGCCCCTTATTGTTTTCTTGGCAGTAATCTTTCCAAAGGAAGGAACTCTGGTGGTGCAGTAATTAAAGCATTTGAGTGTTTAACTGAAAGGTCAGTAGTTCAAGTGCACAAGCCACTCTTGGGGAGAGAGATGTGGCAGTCTACTTCTGTAAAGTTTTATTGCCATGGAAACCCTAAGAAGCAGTTTAACTCAATGGACTCCATGGCAGTGGGTTTTTTGTTTTTAATCTTTCTAGAAGATTAATTATATAATTATATAATTTAAGGAGCTCTGGTAGCGCAGTGGTTACGAATCGGGATGCTAACCTCAAGGTCAGCAGTTTGAAACTACCAGTCATTCTGTGGGAGAAAGATGAGGCTTTCTGCTCCCGTTAAGATCTACAGCCTCGGAAACCCTGTGTGGGTCACTATGAGTCAGAACCAACTCCACAGTACTTAACAACAACATACCTTTAACATTGAAGGGTATAAATTATATAATAAATACAGTATGATGCTAACTTTGTACCAAATAGCAGCTATAGTTATCTCTGGGCCATGACATTTTAATGAAGAATATTAAATTTCTTGTTACTTCCACAATTTTCTACAATGAAAAAAAGTTTAAAAAGGAAAAAAAAAGGTAGTATATTGAAATTTCCAGGAGTTTTTGTCCGTTACTGCATGGTAAGTATTGGACTACTAACTTCAAACTTGCCAGCCACTTCTCGGAAACCCTATACAGGTTGCAGTAAGTTGGAACCAACTTGATGACACTTAACAACAGTGATGTATGTGACATGCTTCTAATACACCTGACCCCTGAACAACATGGCGACTAGAGGTGTAGATACCTATGAAAATCCTGGTATAACTTTTGACTATTCATTATTTTACCTACTATTAGCCTACTATTGATTGGATGCCTCACCAATAACAAACTGTCGATTAACATACTTTGTACATTACATGTATTATATACAGTGCTAACATAAAAGGTGCATTTTGCAAAAAGTGCAAAGTATAGGTTCAGCAAAGCTTCATGAATTTCCTTTTTACAGTGATTCTTATGCTGGATTCATTTATCTTTAAAGGGCACGCAACTGCAGCTGCAGACCTCAATCTATGGAACACCTCAAAAATTCAACTTTTTCTTACAGTGTTGTTACTTTTCTGTTTCTTGGGAGCACTTCCAGCATCACTAGTGGTTCTTCATATGGGTCCCATGGTGTTACTCAGGGCATATGTTTTTGCATTAAACACGATGAAAAATACACAAAAACTGTGAGGAAACACTTTTTTACTACAATAAGTAATCTACTGGGGAGACAAACTCACATGGGAATGATTAGCATCACAAGGCATTAAATAAAAAAAAATTAATGTGGACCTGCGAAATTCAAATCGTGTTTGTTCAAGATGGTTCCTATAGGAGCCATTGTGTTAGCGTTTGCTCAGATCTGGGCTTGTGCTCCTGTTCTGCTGAAAGTCTTTCGTTATTGATTAGGGACATCCCCCCCTTCTTCAATATGCTACACATAATTTGGACCCTCTCTGAGTCTGCTTGTAGGTAGCTTTTTTTTTTTTTTTCCTTGCTTTGACGTCCCCAAACTTTTGGCCTTTGATGTGTTTGAATAAGCATTTTAGTTCCAGAGGAAGTTGTGTTTTCTACTGGTCCAGTCCTTGAAGATGCCAACTTTTTGTTCAACTGTACTGAAATGATTTCTTGTTTCAAAATAATTCCCCCTTTTGAGGGAGTATTTTCAAAAGACAAATATTTTTCATAAGACCACACATTTTTATCTACTGGAATTTCTGAGCATCCTCCCCAGATGTTTCTTCTCAGTCTCCAGGAAGAGGTCCTACCTCCTCTGTCCTAAGTCAGAACCTGTTTTCTTCCATGTACAGAAAGAATATGTTTCTTCTTGTTAGCCAGCTTCAATGTTATTTCATTTCCTTACAGATTGCGTAGCTTCTCCCAGCTCTCTTCCTGCAATTATTGGCTGCCTCCTTGGGGAATACCTTAGGGGTCTTGGGTTTTCACAGTGGACAACAAGGCACAGAAAAGCACACAAAGTCATCTGTTCCTGCTGACAGAAGAGCTCTAGTGGTTCCCAGTATTCCTCACCTTGGAGTCCCTCATCATTCAAGTAAAGAAAATGAAGTTTGACAACGTTAGCCATCTTATTCTGGGATAAAAAGTTCCCTGGCACTCAAGGCAGTAGAAACACTAGATGGTGTTTGTTCTGTGCCTCCTCAGGAGACACAGTTGACCTATCTCACAAAAGCACACAAAGGCATCTACTCCTGCTGACAGAATAGCTCCAGAGGCTTCCCAGTTGCTAGACTGGTGATATACTCTTCATAGCCTCTCCTCTAAGATACATTCAGGAACTGCTCCCTCAAACAAAAGGAATTTTAAACAAAGCCATAAATTTGACTTTTTGGCCCTGGGAACCTATACGTGAGACTTCAGTGTTGGGAGCAACTAAAGCAAAGGTCTCAGACTTGGTGGCAGTTTAACCAAAGGATTACAACTAAACAGTTGTGGTCCAGAAAATCGGGCTGCTCCCAGGTCAGGCTGCCCCCTGAAGAACTTGCAAAGCCTGCCTTAGGGAACAAGGAATTTGCAAAGTCTTTCATTATACACAGCCATGGGCTTCAGTTTAGTCTGCAAAAACATCTAGCTGCCTTATCTCTGTTTCCCTAGAAACTACATTCTTCGGATAAAGTCCCTCTTACTGCATGCATCAACAACACAAGATGTTATTCTTTTCCCTGCCCCCAGCACCTCCTTTGATATATGTATATAATAAACTAAATCTAGGTCTGAGTCACAGTAGCTTCATCAGAGTGCTATGTCCCACCTGGGCACAACTTTACTATTTTCATTTTGTGTCTTGTGTCTTTCTTTTTTTCTAATCTCCCGTCGCCCCTACTTGGGTTTAATCTCTCCGTGTGGGTTGTGGAGTATAGCCATTGTCAGATGCGGCACTTCAGACAAATCATATAACTTGTGGATCTATTTCCTCATCTTTCCTTCCTTCAGACTCAGTGTGGCAGTATACTATAACTCTTTGTCAACACTTTGGGACAGGATTTTCTTAGTGTTTTTTTTTATGTGCAATACAAACACAATAAGGAATATCTCTCAGATGGTTTTGTTTATTCTAATCTTTTCTTGTTTTTCTAAAATTTGGGTGTTGCTTTGAGGACCTGATAAAAACCACCTAAAATAATGCTAACATTTTAACAGAAGAGCTTTATAATTTACAAAACCCATGATACCACTTAACAAACAATACTTGTAATAAAGATATTTCTGATGATTTAAATCAAGCACATAGCTTGGCCTTCAACCTAACATGATCTATAATGACCACTTACCAAGATTCTGGTTCTGTCAACATTACTGAGTTTTCCAGCTATTGAACTGTAAGTGTTTCCAATGGGTTTTTCAGCAGGGAGAGGAGGTGGGCTTTGTGGATCCTCATGTAAACCTGGAAAAACAGTAACTCATCAATAATTTCAGGTTGTTGCAAATTTCAAAGAATAAAAAATTTCAGCTTGACTACTTAGGAAAACGGCTGTTAGAAAAGACTCATACAAAGACTGGAAATGGATGGGTTAATAGACATCAGTTAGTTTTACTGAATGTTTTGTAGAGAGTGAAGATAGTACTACTAACAGCTAGCATTTGCGAGAACCTTCTATGTACCAGCCATTAAGTTGGGCATTACTCACATACATTTCTCCAGCCAACATCTGTGTGTTAGATCTGTGCTGTTCACTACCTAGTAATCCCATGGATACAAATGGCTATGCTTTGAAAAACTGTGGTGAAAATGTATAAATCAAAACATTTGTCAATACAGATTCTCCATTTATAATTCAATGACATTGATTATATTTTTCATCTTGTGAATCATTATCATTCTCCTTTTCCAAAATATTCCACCACTGTTAACATTAACTCTGTCCTTCAAACAAAAGCTCTCCTTTTCCCCCTTCCTCTCAGCTATGTTGTTATTGTTGTTGTGTGCTTTCAAGTCGGTTCCAACTCATAGAGACGCTGTATAGGGCTTCTGAGAGCAACTGGTGGGTTTGAACTGCTGACCTTGAGGCTAGCATGATTACAGTCCAGTGCTTATCCTACAGCATATCCATTAATAATCTTTGGTTTTTATATATTTGCTTATTTTACATAAGTGAGATCAAATAGTGTTTTCATTCCTTTTAAAATTGACTTGTTTTGCTATGCATATTGTTTTCAAGGTTCATCATGTTGTGACATGCATCAGAACTTAATTTCTCTTTGTTGCTTTTGTTGTGAAGTGCCGTTGTGTTGGTTCTGACTTGTAGCGACCTTATATAGGGTTTCCAAGGAGCAGCTGGTTTATTGCAACTGCTGACCTTATAGTTCTCAGTCCAATGCTTATCCTACAGTGCTACACCAGGAGTCCTAATTTCTCTTTGACTGTATAATACTCCATTGTATGTACAGACCATATTTTGTTCATCCATTCATCGCTGATGGATATTTTGGTTATTTCCACATTTGGCTGCTGCAAAAAGTGCTGCAATGTACATTGAAGCATAGGCAAATGCAGTAACTTAAACTTAAATTTTAATCATGACAATGAATTAAAATTTTATTTTTGGTTCCTCAGTTACATGAGCCACATTTCAAATACTCAGTGGCCACATATGTCTAGTGGTTACTATACTGAACAGCACATAGAACATACTAATTTCTACAGAAAATGATATTAGACAGCACTATGCTAGAAAAGGAGCTCTGGTAGCATAGTGGTTACAAGTCGGGCTGCCAACCTCAAGGTCAGCAGTTCGAAACTTCCAGCTGTTCTGTGGGAGAAAGATGAGGCTTTCTGCTCTCATAAAGATTTACAGCCTCGGAAACCCTGTGCAGGTTCACTATTAAGTCGGAATCGACTCCATGGTACTTAACAACAACAACAATGCTAGACAACTTCTATCCATTTTACAGATGAAGAAGCTGAGGTTGAAAGAAATAAAAATAAATGAACTACTCAAAGTCTTTATATTAGTAATGTCAGATCATTCTAATAAGGCATGTTGCTTTCTAATAGGGGATACATAAAACACTGGAGTCCTGGTGTGGTGCTGTGGGTTTATGTGCTGGACTGCTAAGTCAGTTTGAACCAATGAGTCAGTGGTTCAAGCTCATCAGTTACTTCTCGGAAACCGTATGGGTTGGAACTGACTCAATGGCACATAACAACTTAATATATCAAACATTCCCCCATTCAAATAATGAAACATTTTCTAATTCATTAGCACCACATCTCTGGGCTTGGTGTTGTTGTTGTTGTGTGCCCTGAAGTCGGTTCTGATGCTTAACAACCCTGTATGGGGGTTTTGAGGCTGTAAATCTTTCCGGGAGAAGAATCATCTTTCTCTTGAGTAGGTGATGGATTTGAACTGCTGATCTTGCGGTTAGCAGCCCAACATGTAACACACTATACTATCAGGGCTTCTTCAATGGACTTGTTGTAGTTAAGTGCTATCGAGTCGATTCCGATCCATAGTGACCCTATATAGGGTTTCCAGGGAGGAGTTGGAGAGCTTGAACCACTGACCTAGCAGTCCAAACGACTTTGCACTCTGACATATTAGCTCACAGTGCCACACCAGGACTCCCTCAGTTTAACAAATAATACCTTTACACCCAAACTACACCCTTATTCCAGTGATAGAACACCTCCAGCTTATTTCAAAAAGACAAAAAACACAGATAACTAGATTTAATTGTTGTTGTTGAGAAGTGCTGTCGAGTCGGTTCCACCCCATAGCGACCCTGTATAGGGTTTCCGAGGAGCATCTGGTGAGCTTGAACCTCTGACCTTGCAGTTGTAGTGACAACAATTAAAATCTGTGGCAAAAATAAGGGAAATGAGGATGATGATTGTGATATGCTGAAGCTGCCTTTTTCATGCTATTTGTCTTGGGATTGGAAAGAGATTAGAATTTTTCTTCCTTTTAAATGAACAACCCCTACTTCCATTTCACATGAAAAACCTACAACAAGAGGATGATTTGTCAGGACTTTCTGTTTTAGTCACAGACAGGAAAATACTCTCAAGGGGAGAGAAATACTCAGGCCCCCTCTTAGGAAGATAATGATTTAGAGACAGGCAGGTGCTCTTAGTGAGAGGCAGGGCTGCTCTGGGAATTAAGACACAGGAACATCCCAACTCAGGTGCAATCTTGAAGACTTTCTTTGTGCTAGTTTCTTTCTTTTTTTAAAATAAGGACACAATGAGTCATTTAGGATATAATATTATGGACAGCGTAATTTTAGGATATAAAATATTGAACAGTGTAATTAACATGAAAGCGGAGAGGAGACAATGTCATGACAGAAAAGGATATATGAATTATCGGTGTGTGCACATGGAGGTGGTGGTTCTGCTGGTAGTAGGGGGTTTCCAATTTTCCTGTGATTGGGGGAAGGTCTTACTGAGAAAAGTGACATTTGAGCAAAGACTCAAAGGAATAGTGAGAAAGGGAGCCATGCAGCTATCTGGCGAAAGGACAGTTCAGGCAGAAGAAACAGATACCAAGAAGAAGGAGTTAGAAGATTCAAAGAACAATCAAGACTGAAGTAAAAGAAAAACAAAGACTCAAAGAAGAAGACAATTTATAGGAAAAACAATCTGCCTGAATCACAGTCTCACCGACCTTGAGATCAGCACAACTACAAGGTTATAGGCTACCAATGCTGACCCAGTGAACAACTGTTCTTATCCTGGACACAATAGATGGTCCCAGATTGCATGGCAAACAAACAAACAAAAAATTAGAACAAACCTCAAATTCCTAAAAAAAGGATAAATTTACTGGGCCAGTAGAGAGTAATCCCCAAGACTATCACTCTGGGATACTTTTTAAAATAGCAATTTAAACCACTCCCGGAGGTTACCTATAAGCTAAAAGACAGAGTGACTCTTACAATAAACACTACCACCTGTGAGCACTCTGCTCCTCTAAACAATCATCTAAATGAGATCTATGTAATGATCAACTTTTACCTTGCATCAAAGATGAGAAAATAAGGGGGACAAGGAAGCTAGATTAATGGAAAAAGAACAAATAGAATGGAAAAGAGAATGCTGATATATTGTGAAAAGTGTCACCAGTGTTACTGAATATAATATGTATGTTGTTGTTGTTAAGTGTCGCTACAGGATTTCTAAGGAGTGGTTGGTGGCTTTGAACTGCCAGCCCCCGGAACAGCAGTCTGCACTTATCCTACAGGGACACACCAGGACTCCAAATAATA